TAGGCCTGAGCGTACTTTGAAAAAAAGGTCACCGATGGAGTATTCGCTGGTTTGTTTTTAGCGTTTAGCAGGAGTGCATTATGTATCAAACGAATAGGGCGCATGGATCTTCGATAGGCTAACTCATGTTACCGATCAGGAAGGCCTTCGCCCCACGGAGCTCCGTTCAGGCGCCGACTGTTGAGCTGCGTGACCGGTAGCCGACACCGGGGGGCCGTGCGTGTCGGCCGCCCCTGACCGCGCCGCCCGTCTGTTGACAAAACAGCCGCGCCGACATCGGCGCCGAAAAGCCAGACCGCCGTGAAACGGTCTCAGTCGGCGATGGCCGATCGGCCAACACAACCGGGCGTCATTTAAATCACAGACTGTTAACATCGACCTCCAGTGGGCGATTACAAAGCGCGGGAACGACTGGAGGATTTTGGCACATTCATGTTGCTTTTAGGCGCTGTTTGGGGTGGCTAGATCCCTTAAGTCGACCATATCTATTGTATATATATATATATATATATATATATATATATATATATATATGTTGGAATATTTTGGCAGAATTCTTTCTTTGATACATGTTTGATTAAAAATAACTGCTGACTCAGCATTGACGAGCTTTTTGATGCATCGTTCTAGTTTCCGGGCCTTCGACTTTGCGTCATCGCTTAGATTAAAGATGGTTCGCACAAAATTACTCATATATTCATAACTCCTTCCATTCTAACGTTTCGAGATCTTATCTCATCTTCGGAGAAGACCAAATTGCACAACAAATAAGTTTTGAGTTTTAAATGATGAAAAATCGTGCACTACTGTTGGAAACCATCTTTTGGTACGGGGAACATAAATTAAGCATAACTAATTGAAGTAAGACGGATTGCTATTTTCATTTTCATACAAGTAAGAAACACTCATAATGGGAACATCACGAATACACAATGGGAACACTATTGTCACAATCACAATCACATGGTGGGCGGTGAGCACTTCTGATGTGTATATATATATATATATATATATATATATATATATATATATATATATTGACCATGTGACGTCCGCAATGCGAGTGTAACCGTGGGATATGTGGATTCATGCCGTCGAAAATTTCTGGGATAGTCGTATGACGCTTACGGACAGGAGAAAAACATGCATGGCTTATCGTACATAGTCGTACATGCATGCCATTTTGAACTGCGTAAATAACAGCGACGCTCGTGAAGTACCAAACATAAATCCTAACTCCCTCCCAGCAACAACCAGTTGCGGAATATTGCCGTTTTACGCGAGAAGAGAATTATTGAGCGCGCTTATAATGGTTGGAGATTTGTTGATCAGCCTACCTTAGTTACTACGACATAAATTATTTGTTTATTCAGATCATAAATCCCAAAGCAGTGCACGCTGGTGACTGGCCATCATCATGTGCTAATCGGCGCATGCGATGACTGTACGTTTGAAAGCCAACCAACGCGCATAAATGGGCGTAACGATATTGCTCGGCCCATTCCCACCGGCGGATGCGTGACGCTGAGGCCCTCACGTCACCACAAACTCGGCCACAGTTCCGCCCCGTCCATCCGTGGCCGAGCTGTGCCCGACGACGGGGGCCGTCTGAGTAGCAGCCTCGTCGGCGGGTGCGCGGCCCCCTAATCCGGCCGTCTACTTTGATGATACCATCGGGTCGCTTCCGGCGGCACCCAGCCGCCATTGATAAAGCATGCCGGCCGGCTTACCCCGCACGTCAGGCGCGCCGTGGCGACGCAGCCCGCGGCCCCGCGAGCAGGCGCGACGAGCGCGCTGACGTCACACGCGCGGTCAGCTGTGAGAGCCCCCCCGCGATCGGAGGGCGAGGGGGCAGGCTGACGACAGGTGGCGATGGACAGAAGATCGGAGCCGGATGTCCCGGTCACGGTGGGGATTAGGGCTCAATTCTTCACACGTCAGGCGGTGTTGCATTGTGAGTGTGGGAAAACGTGGCGCAGCGGCTATGGCGTCATCCTTAAAAAGATCACCACCGTGATTTTTATTTGACAACCATTATTCCAGCTTTGTTCCCAGGCCACGTTCCAGGTTTGCCACTAGTGGTGGCTGATTATAGATATGGATCCGTCTGTAAGTAGGCGAGTTTAACGCCTTTGTAGTGCTAATGCAATGCCTATTTTTATCTTATGCAAATGAGTTAGGGGACCGTTCATCACAGCTGCTTCTTTCTTCACCCATTCTCCACTTACGTCAGGGTGTTTAACGTGCCCATGAAGCAAGGCTGTCTGTGCTGAAATGTGTTCAGGTGGCCTTTGTCGTTTTGCTTTTATCTAATAACGGTTGCGGGATGTTTTTTTGTCCTTGGCAACACTGCACAAATCTCTTCTAGCCACGCTCGTAGACGGCTTCTGGCGAAGCATCGCTGAAACGTGAATTCCAGGCTGGCCTTTGCAGTGAAAACATTTGACACAATTGACACGTGACACCGTGACACTGCTGGCGCCGGTCGCAAGCTCACTCCCCCTTCTTGTTTCTTGCCTTTCAAAAGGCCTTCAAATAAATCTACTCCGATTTCAGAGAGGCAATGAGTCAGACGGCATAATCATTTCCGACGGCATGCTCATTTGTCTAATGCGGGCCGATGTCACTTAAACAAAGGCGTCGTGAAAGGGTTCGATTCGCTTACGCCTCGTAATGTCAGTGTCAGATGGCCCAACGGGGACATCACAGGCCATGCTGCTGCCTACAGGGGCCGTGTTCGGACGAACATAGCAGCACATAGTTCTACGATCAGACCTGCCTCTGCTATTGCTATAAACGTTATACCATGCATTGCGGGTGCTACTGCTATGAAGACTTTACGACAGAATCAGCAGCCGAGATTGTATGACGTCACCTGCCCCTCGCCCTGGCAGGAAGGGTAGGCGTCAAGGGAAATCGAACCCGAGGCATATGGTTTCCCAGAAGCGCGGTGAAACCACTGCGCGACCGGTACCCGTTCTGGACGTGCATTGGTGAACCGAGGGCACCCACCGCCATTGCAATCACACGGCTTTTGTCGCCAAGTGTAGGAGGTTCGGAGAACTGCAGCACAAAGAGCTCCGCCGGATGGCCACCAGTTCGGAGAAGCGTAGCGGATAGGGGGCGACAAACACATCAGTGATCGTCGCGTGAATATCATCTAAAAACGACTTGAAGCGACCTATCGTGGAACATTGAGCAGCGACATCGTGCCGGTCATTCACGCTTCATGGCTCACGTTTTATTATGTGGTACTAAAAGACGCGTCGAGCTAACGAGAGCCTATAGCGAGGCAGCTAAAGACGCCAGCTTGCAAGGGTCTCACAGATATGAGTGATGAATAATTGTTTAAGGCCTTCAAAGTATTGACAACATCGCGCGTTAGTTGACGGCACTGTTCACTGTGACAAATCCCGAATTTTCACCAGCGGAAGTGGCAAGCTCCCCATCGTAACACCTGTTCCCATTCACGCGGGAGAGTTGGCGTCGTTTTATTTCATCCGTGTGTTGTTTGCTCGCACCAACCTGGGCTGTCAAACAATAAAACATATACCTTATATGGAGCGCAGCAGGGAGAACACAGCTGCCAACGGTGGCATTAAGGGCTTCCGGTGCCACCTTCAGCATCGTTAAGGGGACGGAGGAATGGCGCTATATCCAATTCACCTTGCTGATACGTGGTTTTCCTGCGAGAGCACATTCTCGAGCGTCTTTACTTCTAACCTGCCGCGGTGTTAAATGGCCCTGTTTGCAACCTTTACATCACAAAGTGAAATCGGATATCAACTGAATTGTGTGTTTAAAGCCGATAGTTATAGATGCTTCCTCAGTGCCACCCTCCATATAATCACGCAACCTCGTCTTTATCCCAAGAATGCAAATGACGCAGCTCTAGCCTTGTCCAACTCAAACATATCGATTTGCCGCACATGTTCATGCCACATAACGTCGTCTAGCTCGGAGAAACAGACGAACACATGGGTGTATCACAGATCCAGGATCGCTGGCAGGCACGTGATCATTCAGCATGGAACCATAAGGCGATTGGGCACAGCCTGGTTGCATGCACGTATTGCGGGTGGAGCAAATATATATATATATATATATATATATATATATATATATATATATATATATATATATGTGTGTGTGTGTGTGTGTGTGTGTGTGGTGTGTGTGTAATTGAGAACAGGTAGCACGCCTTGTTAACATGCCCGCTGTTCTGCGAGGGGAGCCCAACAGCCCCCCCCCCCCCAGCCGTCCGTGCTTTTTAATTCGCCCTACAACAAGGAAGCTAGCATACCTATGTGCGATTCAGCGTGCCTTCACCCGAGTATGAAGCGCAGCGCATGCCAAATGGATCTAAAGTCGGCTGAGAGTTGTGAAAGGCAGTACTCTTTTGTGCCATGCAATCTATTAAGACTTGAGAAAATTATCGCGGTCCTACAAACACACGCCTAAAGAGGAGGAGAGCGCGTGCCAATGGCGGTGAAACGCACAGAGCTGGTAACGTCTCCGCCTGGTTCCCTGGTATGGAATACACATGTGTCATGGCTCCCTTGGTGGGAAAGCTCATCAGTGTTATCTTTATGTCTGGTTACAGCACATAAAAAATGAGAAGGCCCCGTGTGACCCAAACGACACTACGAGTGATGGGTCTGAATGTCTTTGATCTTAATTGACTCAAATAAAATGAACCTGCCTTAGATCATTACTTGGCTCACAAGAAGACTTACTGCAATTTCTTTTCACACTGCATATTGTGCACTTTCAGTGTCATGCTCTCTGAGACAATATGGTGAGGCCGGGGGCAGATTTGGCCCAACCGCGGGGCGAATTATGATCGCAGGTTCAGTGCACGTGCTGTTGCTAGGTTCCCATCCTGTCGGTCGGGAGGACCTACCCCAATACACGGTGCGCACCATGTATCCGTGCGCTGACTGCATACGTCAGCGTCGCTTTGCCAACTCTCCTGTAACCCGACCCTCGGTCCATTTCAGATCGGACCCCGCTGCACATCGCTGCCGAGCGGGGTCACGCGCTAGTGGTTGAAATCCTGGCGGACAAGTTCAAAGCTTCGGTTATGGATCGGACCAAAGATGGCAGCACGTTAATGCACATTGCCTCGCTGAACGGCCATCCGGAGGCGGTGATGGCGTTCCTACGAAAAGGCGTTCCTCTGCATATGCCCAACAAGGTGCGCCGCTCACCCGTGCTGATCACACTCGGACGGCTGCTCGCTTGATCGGATTGGTTACGGCCGGTTTTGATTTCAGCACGTCCTCACGGCAGGACGTTCCTCGTGGGGCTAATCGGAGGCTGACCGGGCAGCGCCAGACGTTTCTTCCCCCGCCGCCGCCGTCTGTATTGGTTACTTGTGCGCCATGATATGTCGGGATCTGGCTGATTAGTCAGGAAATCTGTAGGCAATTGATAACCGTAGCCTATAAAGCATTCAAAACATACATGTCGTATAACTGGTGGCGTCGCAAGTCACGCGACTTCCCAGTCCCCATGACGGCCTGATGACTTCTGGTCCCTGTGGCATCTGTGAGGATGTCAGGGACAGGTAAGATCAGTATATGTCAATTTTCTGCCCTTCTGAGTCGCACACAATTATAACGTCTCATGATGAGCAAAGCATTACTCTTTTGTGTAGGTTAAGTTTACTCACCGATTTATCACAAGTGGACAGTAAAATTAACTTGGGCTCAACATTTGTTGGTTGACATGTTGTGTTGTATTGGTCTCAGCGGAACGCGAGCTGACGTAGTATTGACCTTGATGGAACGCGAGTTGACATGGTATTGACCTTGGTGAACGCGAGTTGACATAGTATGGACCTTGGTGGAACGCGAGTTGACATCGTACTGACTTTGACGGAACGCGAGTTGACATAGTATTAACCTTGGTGGAACGGGAGTTGACATGGTATTGACCTTGGTGGAACGCGAGTTGACATGGTATTAACCCACACTGCAAGGTATGATTGACTCTGACAGATACAAATCTAGATCAGTTTGAATTGCGTCAAGTCAAAACAGCCCGCGGGAGAAAGGGTAAGTACGCTTCGTTACCGATAGCAAGACCATGGCCACTACAGCTCCTGCCAAGACGGTCAGTAAGGCATCCCACGTGCGTCGTTTCCGCTGGCCGGAGGCTGACAATGGCCGCCCCACCCTCAGGCGGGAGCTCGGGCCATCCACACGGCCTGCCCTCACCGGCCACGTCGGAGTCATCAACGCCCTGATTCAAAAGGGCGAAAGTGTCGACGCCGCCACCAGGGTGAGACCAACAAACGCCACCAGCGGTCTGTCAGTGCACCTGCGATACACTGGTGCTCAGAGATGACGCCTCAGATGGCGGCAGTGACGTCATCCTTCCTATACTCTTCAGTCAGCTGAAACGAGGCCGTATCGCCAGCAGCAGGTGGAGGACCTTTCATAATGTTGGGCTTCCGGGCCTACGTTGGTAGCCACTTGACTTCTCGCACGAGCCGTTCGCATTGTTCCCGATTCGCCCACTCGATCTGAACGCAGCCCATCATCGGGATCGCTCACCACGGGCCTTACCACTCATCACTGGCATTACTGACTTTTAGCGGGCAGCATGCCTCACACATTCGTCGGAGCCGGCGCAGCATCGCGATGCGACATTCTGTTTGATGTGGAGCCCGCAGTCGACTGACCGCGGCCTCTTGTGCCCGCCAGGACAACTACACCGCTCTTCACCTGGCCGTGCAGGCGGGCAAGGCAGCCGTCGTGGAGACCCTGCTGGGTCACGGCGCCCAGGTGGAGATCAGGGGTACGTCCATGTCGGTCGGGCGATGCTTTTCTCGGTTAGACCAGGCCGGATTTGATCGGTAACGGCTCGCTGCATGGAATTTTACTCACTCTGAACGCATGAATCATGCTGACCGTATTTCGGTCAGTATGTTGGCAGGGAAGCGTGTGTTACGCCAGTAACCAATACACTATTTTCGATTGTTGCCTTTTCAACGCGGAAAACATCACAATGTTTTGGTATTACGACGCAGATTGCGATAAACCAATGAATGTTGAAACCACTTTGACAAGCTGTTGGTTCGAGCTGATAATAATATTCAGCTTTGTTTTTGTGTTGTATGTGGTGACCCATGCTAACAAAGCAAGCCGTTGTGGATATGAAAACACAAACACGTTGTAAAGTTCATCACGCGACGGACATGGCTGTTAGCAAGATATGCGATATTCCTGTCATAATTACGAACATGCAGGCTGACGTGCGGTCTTCTTCCGTACACGGCTTTCATATAACCTCACATCAAGGAACCGTAACGGCGACGTTTAGATGCTTCATGGCTGGGCTCCTGGGAGTGGCATGCCCTTCAATACACCACACATCCACCGCACGTGAAGGTGGGCTGCTTTACGGCGCATGCACAACAGGGGTCACGGAGACCGCCAACTCGTAACCTCTCCCTTCGTGCCGCCTGCACCGGGTCCCCCGCCCCCCCCCCCGAAAGAGCTCGTGCGGAGAAAGGGTCCCCACGGCGTTGGTTTATCAGCGGCGAAAAACGAAACTCAAATTTGGGGTAAGGCCCAGCGGTTGTGTGGCTGGCCTCCTCTTCACTCCTGTTGTGAAATTTCCGTTCACTTCGAGCGCCCGGCTCAATATTCACCAGCGAGCGCGTGCGTACGTTGCAGGAGGCGCTCTGCGGGAGACGCCGCTGCACATAGCGGCGCGCGTGCAGGACGGCGACAAGTGCGCTGAGATGCTGCTCAAGTCGGGAGCCAGCGTGCAGCTCACCATGGAGAACGGTACGGACGCAGCGTGTCGGCACGCGACCCTCAGCTATCTCGCGCAGCCCGTCGGTCCCGCCCCGCCGGCTGGCACGGGGCCGTCAGGATGGCGGCTGCGTCGAGGACCTTCCGTGTTTGACGCGATGCATATTCTGCTGTCCTGGAAAATGCGCGCGGCAAACTGCCGACGACTGATCCGCTGTTGAGTCGCCTGCTGCAAACTGTTATCGATGGAAGCGCACCAGATAATTATTTTGCAAGAAGAGACGCAAGGAAGTCAGTTGTTTGCATCTTACGTGCGTTCAGCGCCGATTTACTCGGAGTAATTGATGTATTATCACACGAACCTCTTAGACCAATAGCATGCCAGTTGAAAATATCAGTAACATCGCAAGAATGATGCCAGATGACTAGCAGTAAATCCGGAATCACTGCACGAAATATCAAATGGGAATGAGGGTGTGCCTCAAACAACTATTGGATGGTCACGGAGGAGCACTTAAGATCACTGGGTCAATGAGGATAATTAATTCCGCGCTTTAATGGTTATCACTGATCTCGATGAATTGCCTTCCCACCTTGCGATACTGCTCATCCGACTACTAAATGATCGCAGGCAATCACTGAGGGTTTATAGGTTAGAACGTTAATTAGTGCACCGATCTAATCATAATTAACACTGTTTATGGATCGGTTTGCGTCCAGTAGATGCTTAGTTATATATTGCACAAAGTTTCACTCCCTTGTGAAGTACTTGCTTGGATTGGTGATCTTTGCCTTGGCAGTGGATCTTTGGTTTGGGATATTAGCATTTGCAAGCTGTTTTTTCTTTTGACCGACATTCACCGTGAATTGCGCATCACGCACCGTGGTCACGCATCGACCAAATTTTGACGGGCAGTTATCATGCGTTTGCCATAAGCTGGCCAAATGAGTTCAGCATTTACTAATCACTGGATGCACAACAGTCACGTATCTTCATTTCGCGTTAGATAATTGCGGAAGCTGGGTGACCAATACGAGATCTGGTGCGGACCGCTGCACGTCGGCCATTTGTCGACAGGCCGTCGCCGTGCTCTGCGTGGTTCTGTCGGTCCCTCGTGCGTGTGTGTGCGTGTGTGTGTGTGTGTGGCCCGTGCGCCCTCAGCGAGCGTTCGGCCCGTGTCCCGCCGCAGGCCAGACGCCGCTGCACGTGGCGGCCCAGTGCGGCCATCTGAAGACGTGCCAGCTGCTGCTGCAGGACGGCGCCGACCCCATGACCCAGTCCAACGTGAGCCGAGCCGGGCGCGCCGCCGAACCAGGAGGCGCCACCTCAGCATGCGGCCACTAAGGCTGAACAGCCCCGAGAAGGCGCAGCTGTGGTTACAGCTTACACCAACCCCGTTGATTTTGACTTCCGTATCTGACTTCCGTAAGGGCCTTTAGTGCCTCTTATCTGACGAACCTATCTATACTGCCTAATCTTACGCTGAACCCGCGTCACCAGCATGCGATAACACTTGATGTGTGCTGTCCCCCGGCGCCGTGCAGAACGGCGAGAACCCGCTGCATCTGGCCTGTCAGAACAGCAACTACCAGGTGATTAGTCTGCTGCGCGACTGCGTGTGCAAGCTGGCCAGCTCGGAAGAGGAGGGCGCCGCCCGGCTGAAGAAGCTGCTCAACATCCGCAACTCCGAGGGCGAGACGGCCGTCCACTACGCCGGCCGCGTGACCAAGGACAAGCTGCACTACCCGCAGGAGGACCGCGACATCGTCAAGCTGCTCTGCGAGAACGGCGGCTCGCTCGACCTGCTCACCACCAAGGTGCTGGCGAGCGGTAGTCGGGGTCAAGGGTGGAGGTATTCTCCCCCAGACCAGCCCAGTTGAGCTGGTGGTTGGGACTGGGAAGAGGTGGCTGGCGGCGACAACGCCGGCAGGGACGTCCGTTAGTGTAACGTTCTTTTATTTGATGTGTGCATGAGAGCTTTGCTGATAGAAGGGTGCTGTTTGGTGCAACTCAATTGATGCCCATTTTGCTGGGGGACTTTTATTCAACATTGGTTTCGCTGCTGATCCGTCAAACTCATGCCAAACTGACGTACGCGGTCAAAAATCGAGGCGTTTGTCGTCGCGTCGCGATATCGAACACCGAACACGTGTTCAGAAATTGCCGGAAAAGCATGCACTTATTGAGACTGAACTAACGTTTCCGATCATTGTATCCTGGCCAAACAAACACCGTCTCACTACGTGGCCGGCCACGGAAATGATACCGTCCTAGAGCAGATGCTGATTCATCTTTACGATGTGCAAATTCGAACACCAAACAGGCGTTCGGAAATCGCCGAAAAAGCGTGTACTCATTCAGACTGTAAATTAACGCTCGTTGACACTGGATCATAGGCTAAAGAAACGCCGTTTCACTACGTGGCCCGCCACGGAAACAACGCAGTCCTAGAGCAGATGCTGGTTCATCTAAAAAACCAGGTGAGGGCTGTGTAATGTGTGTTATATATGTATTGTTAAAGTCGGTGTCAAAGTATTCTCAGGGACAGCCTGCATCGCTTGTAGTATGCGTTATCCTGTCACTCAATTTACAAAGAGCGACTTAATTTAGCCCACCAGGAAACAAGAACGTTCTATGTTTTTGACCGTAATCGATTAATCCCGCTTAAGCCCAACACAACAAGCGACCATTGTCAACGTGTCACATGTAGCACATGTAACTCGAAAGTGTCGCCTGCTGCCAATCAGGCCGAACCTCCCGTTCCGCCAGGCGCCAAACGTGCAGATCGTGCTGAACCGCCAGAACAACGGCGGCGCGTCATGTCTGATGGTGGCCGCCCAGCAGGGTCACCAGGAGGTCACCAAAACGCTGCTCGCTCACAACGTCAGGTGCGCCGTACAGTAACGAGCGTGTGTTGGTGAAACCTGATCGTGGCTCGCTTCTCTCGGGCCAGGTTTCATGAGTCAAGTGCGGCTTTGGCTCTGGTACATTCAACGTGGTGGGAGTCCGACATTCTTCAGTTATATTTTCAGATATGCTGCCCGTCTATGTTATGCACCGGTCTAGTTCACACGGGCTTACCGTCCATCGTCTTCCTAGCTCATTTTCTCAGTCCATGTCCCCCGCCTCTCGGCCGACCCACCATTGGTCCTGTTCCCCGAGGCCCGGCTGCACCGGACGAGCCTCACCGCCTCCTCCGCGCCGGCAGGGTGGACGTGTTCGACAGCGAGGGCAAGGCGGCGCTGCACCTGGCCGCCGAGCAGGGTCACCTAGACGTGTGTAACGACCTGCTGGCGCACAAAGCGTTCGTCAACTCGCGCTCCAAGATCGGTCTGACGGCGCTGCACCTGGCCGCCACGCGCGGCTACACGGACCTGGTGAAGGCGCTCATCCAGAAACATAACGCTGCAGTCGACGTTAACACACTGGTGAGCTGGCCGACGCCATACTGCAGAAAACACACGGCATGCCCAACATGGCCGGCGCAGAGGCCACCAACAATTTCAGTGCATCGAGAGACATTGTTTCAAGAAATTGGATGTTACAATAGTTACTTCGGACAAGGATGCTCGTCCCCCATTTCTTCAGACACAGACGATTTCAGGAAAAAAAAGTCTGACTTAGTTTGAACTATTTTTGGCACACGCGCACGCCATGTTCAGCGCGTCGATGTCACTCGAACGTGCAGTGCAGGGCATGGATGTTTGCGGACTTGGGGACCGGTGGTGGATCGGTGCCAAGGTCGGACGGCCCGGTGCAGACCGGGTAGGTGGGAATCAGCCAATTACCAGACGCCCTCTGTCCACCACTTCCGCGCCGTCAAAATAACCATTTAGCCTAAGTTGCAAAATTGAATTGTCATGTGGCACGGAAAGAAGCGAAGTCGTTAAAACAGTCTGCTCAAAGATGTGAAGTTCCGCCGCGTCTTGCTCAGGGTCAGAGCCGATTTTCGATTGACATGATATTCAACACTTTGAAATCGGGTGGTCGGCATCTGGGTTCCGCCGGCTGAAATTGTCAGACCGTCAAATAATTAGCTGAATATTATCTCAGCCGGTTAATGCCAACAAGTGATCGGTCTTTGCTTACAAATAAATTAAAAACAACACAGTCCTAGAGATGGGATTTTCGCTTGAATGCCATTGCAGACAATGGCTCGCTAGGCATGCGGGGGGGGGGGGGGGGGAGGGCGTGGGAGGTTTATTAGAGTACATGTTCTGCTGACATTCTTAGGTTATACTGGACCCGCATTGCGCGCAGGCTTTCACAACATCTGGAATTGGGCCGGTAGAAGTGTAATCCATCAAAAAGCGTCTGCTGTTTATTTCACAACAGCCTCACACTTCGACTGATTCCTCTTTATGTGAGGACCACCGCGGGCGTCGATGCTGAGTGGCGGAATGCTCGGCGCCCGTGCAAAACATCGGGGTTCGATTCCCGACCGCTGCACTTTCTGTTTCACGGTAGGGTAGCGGCTCAATGCCACACAGCCCTGTCGGATTGTGGCTGGCTGAACGAGGTCTGCTGTGGACAGGTAACAGGTCCTTGTTGTCACGTCCCAAGTGCAAACCCATCTCACTGACTGTCTTCACGGACACGCTGCTTTCGCCTGCCTCCACAGGCTGGGCGCGGCTAAGGCCGCCGGCTGTCCCTGCAGTCGAAACTTTCCTTTCCTACTGATGGACTTAACGCACTGAGAAAACGCCCGTCTGCAGGCAAAGTGCCCTCAACCCGTGGGCTGTACTCTAAGCCAAGCCATCAGCTGCAACCCGCTGCTTATCTGAACAAATAAGAGCCACTCGACCATCAACGAGCGCGAGCGCCCTAACTCACCGACTATGCTCGCCGGCAACTCCCCTCCGCCGTCTACATAACAGCAGCACCTCTAACCGTCCCACCGGCGCCGGCAGACGAAGCAGACGCCGCTGCACCTGGCGGCGGAGGCGGGTCAGATCGAGGTGTGCAGCGCGCTGATCCAGATCCGCAGCGACGCCAAGGCCACCAACGACAGCGGCCAGAAGCCGATCCATCTTGCGGCGCAGAACAACCACTCGGAGGTGGTCAAGCTCTTCCTCAAGCACTTCCCCGAGCTGGTCACCACCGCCGACAGGGTCAGTCGTCCGCCCGTCTGTCCGGTGCTCCGGGTGCAGCTGCTGTAGCGGTGGTCGCTCGCAGTGGGGGTGCTACAGCTATGCCGCTTGAGACAGACTCTTTGTGTCTGCGATGGCCCACCTGACGGTCGAACTTGCCCTTCACGGCAGGACGGCAACACCTGCGCCCACATCGCAGCGATGAAGGGCTCGGTGGACGTCATCAAGGAGCTGATGAAGTTCAACAAGCAGATGGTGACGTCGTGCCACAACAAGACGTCCGAGTCGACGCCGCTTCATATGGCGGCAGAGGGCGGCCACCCGGAGGTGGTGCAGGTGCTGATCGAGGCCGGCGCCAGCCCCACTGAGGAGACCAGGGTCAGTGTTGGCCGCCCACAGAGCAGGCCACTGCAGCATTGCAGGCGGGGTACGGTGCTCACTGATTTGATTTACAGGAGGAGAGGTGCTCTGTTGCAGTGGAACATTCTCCTTTAAGTGCGTGCTGTTTTCATTGAATGCTAGCCAGACACATCTCGGTGACTTGGTGTCGTTTCAAATACGTTGACTTGTTTCTTCGACAGTCTCCGCAGAGTTTGCGTCCGTTTGCGATTAAGCGACTGGAGCCGTGTGCGCCCTGATCCCCCTCTTTCTGACCAAAACCTGACCCCACCTGATCCAAACCTGACTGCACCTGACCTGACCGTGCCACGCCTGCTCCAGTACGGCTTCACGCCGGTGCATCTGGCGGCGCGCGCCGGTCACAACGGCGTGCTCACGCAGCTGCGCGCCCTGCACGCCTCCATGCGCATCACCAGCCGCAAGAACGGCCTCAGCGCGCTGCACGTGGCCGCCTTCTACGGAGAGGCCGGTACGTGGGGCTGGCCGGCTGCTGGAGAATCTCCGTCTCAGAGATTCGGCCTAAGCGGTCAGGCCTGCTCGCGATGGTTATGTCACTCAGTGAATTTTTCGCGTGCCTCAACGTTACGGCCTTTGCAAAGAAGATCGGGAAGGGTTTTGATGTGTGTTTGGGGTAGATAACCACGTGTGAAGTGTTTGAAACACGCAGTGATTGCAAGAGTCCTGTCAAGATACGTGCGAACGAATGTAAGCAACAGAAAATGTACGCACACCAGGCTATAAAGATCAACAGTCAATACAATAATTAAGCAGGGGATTCCTTCGGTCCCGTCGGTTCATCGTCAGAAATTGGCACACCCAGTGCAAAAGTGACTCGACACGTCAACACTCGCACCTCCTGCGCGTGGCGTCAGTCCGCGCCTAACCCCTGCGCGCGCTGCAGACATCGTGCGCGAGCTGCTGCAGCACGTGCCGGCCACGCTGAAGTCGGAGACGCCGACGGCGGCCACCTCGTCGTTCATCCGCGAGCTGGGCTCGGAGTCGGGCCTGACGCCGCTCCACATGTCCGCCTACAGCGGCAAGGAGAACATCGTCCGCCTGCTGATGAACTCGCCCGGCGTCCAGGTGGACGCCACCACCAACCTCAACGTGAGTGATGTCCGCGCGGGCGGCGGCAATGACGGCGGGCAGAATGTAGGAGTGTCTGTGGACGAGCAGGCAATGCTGGACATGTCACTCGGAATGTCTGAGGTCCTCGCCAGAAAAGATGCATCTCTGGGAGCAAGATGGTAAGATTTGGTCTTGGTTTGACCGGGTACGCCACCATTGCATACTTCGGACTTCGTCTTGAAGGCGTACATCCCGCTGCACCTGACCTAAGTGGGTAGCTACACTGACCTGACCTGACCTGACCTGACCTGCGCATCAGGCGTACATCCCGCTACACCTGGCGTGCGTGGGCGGCCACACGGCTGTGGCCGGACTGCTGCTCAGCCGGTCCACGGACCAGCTGCACTGCAAGGACCGACGAGGTCGCACCGGGCTGCACATCGCCTCGATGAACGGCCATCTGGCCATGGTCTCCCAGCTGCTCGGGCAGGGTGCCGACATCAACGCTGCCGACCGGGTCAGTGGCGGCGGCAGCGACGGCTGGGACCAGGCCAGCTGGCCCGGGGGCCCGATCTGGCGCTGGCTGAAACCCTGTGTGTGAAGTTGTGCTGTGCGAGAAGAGCGTCGCTTGTCGAAGGTGCTGGAATAGTGCTGCAGTTTGCAGACCGGGACGTCTAGGAAGGAGCCTGTTGGTGTGGGCTGCGGAGATAGTTGTATGGATGGTGTCAGTGGATAGACCTTAAGCCAAATGTACTGCTTCGTTCAGTTCGCTGAATTTCCATATTGTTCGGAGCGGTAACAAGCGTTGTGTCCGGTCACGAGGATAGTTGGAGGTAGTTATACGACGGCATCTGCTTAAACTCTTCCGCACAACACACACGGTGGCGGCGTGTCTCCTTGTTTTCCTCTTGGTCTGTGCCTGACGCCGGCTGCTTCGCCCTCTGCAGGACGGCCTGACGGCGCTCCACTACAGCAGCAAGAACGGCCACCTGGACGTGGTGAAGCAGCTGATCGAGAGCGGCGCCTCGCCCAAGTTTGAGACCGCCAACGCCAAGACGGCAATCTGCTTCGCCGTCGGCAACGAGCACTTTGACGTCATCGAGTACCTACTGCGCAAGGACCACGACTCGTACTCGCTGCTCAGCGACAAGAAGGTTGTGTTGCCGGGAGTTCGTGTGGTTGATTTGCCGACAGTGATCATTTGCTTTGTGATCATGATGAGTTGCCTTGTGATCACGACCATAGTGCGGGTTTCATATCTGTTAGCAGCTTCAGTGGTGTTTCAAGAGTAGCGACGCCAAATGTTATGTGGGGGATAGGCTGGTCGCATGGGTATCACGCATTTATTATCAAACAGAGGTCTATAAAGTAAATATTTTGTTGAGGGAAACTACGTATCACCTGCGTAACACATTTACATTTGTGGTCAGTAGCGCCTTCATTCCGAACATAAGCGTTCAACATAAAGCTGGGGAGTTCAACAGCATCCGCTCTGCCGAAATGTCTCGCAGGCATTTCGAATCATGAATGGTGACAGTGATCACTGACCTCACCCCCATGCGGTGACCGAACCCCCGCTCCGCTTCAGTTTGTGAGTGACCTGACCATGGTGAGTAAGAAGTACGGTAACAAACCGCTGCAAGACTTCATCCTGCTCTCACCGGCGCCGGTCGACGTGGCCTCCAAGCTCTCCTACATCCTCTATCACCTGTCCGTGAAGGTCAGCATTGCTCGTGGGGACGGCTGATTCTGTCTCGCTGGATTTCTGTATATACTGACATGAGTCAGTGGATTTGTTGTCTTCATCTCTCAGAATGTCATTGATATGAGAGTATTTGATCTCCACTGAGCGTCAATCCGCCAACTCTTGGCGGGTAATATGCCATTCAGACCCCTGGCCTTAAGCTGTAGCTCTTTGAGATATTTCACGCGGCTATTTCTCACACAATGGGGGCGTATAAGATAGCGTAAAAGATTTAGATAGCGTGAGTTTCATCTGGAACTTGTCGTCCAGCCAGGTGTGGTGTGCTTTCTGCCAGGCTTACTAGCGTGTCATTCTCTTCCCATCACTCCTATTCGTTTGACCTACCTTGCGTTTGTTCCTCACTGACCTTCCGCGCGGCACGTCCCCGCCCGAACGACCGCAGGAGAAGGAGAAGACGAAGGACCTGCTGGCGGCCTCGCACTACTGCGAGGTCATGGCTACTGAGATCCTGTCGCTGGCGGCCGGCTCCAAGTCGGCCGGCATCCTGCTGCGGGCACTCGACTACCAGCAGAACGAGTTCCTCGACATCCTGATCGAGCTGGAGCAGAAGGAGGTGGGGCGCAGGCTCAGTCTGCAGCGTTGGTGCGGAGGAAGGGGGGGGGGGGGAGACACTCAGATGTGTTTGGGGAGGTTAGTGAGAACCGGCCAACTTTGTAGTTTGGCGACATTGAACAATGTTGGTGGTAATTGTATTGTGGTTGTGTATGCCACTGTTGTGGATGGGCTGCAGTGCGGCGCGCAATAGCCACATTCTGGATCTGAAAATTCAACCATAGACATTGCTAGCCCAAATCCGTGAATAATCGTGCCTATCGTCCTGGTTAAGTCCCTAAACGCCGCCTTATCAGCTCTCACTTTCACATCTGGTCAAAACCCCAATCACTCTGACCAGTGTGCATTTGCAAAAATAATGTTTAAGAAGTGTTTTGTTTAATGAAGCAAGGGTTCGCATCTTGATCGCCCTCGCATTTAGCTACCAAGCAGCCAGCTCGCATGGAAGCGAAAACTGAGCCACGCCGATCGAAATGGTTTTGTTGAGGGGCTGGTGGAACTGCACACGCATGCAACAGCATACTTCACCGGCAACCAACAGATAGTGAACCTGGGAACTCCCATATCAAGTTCGACTTGATCGTAACTGGAACCAATGCCTGTTTTCGTTCATGTTCCGTAGGTGATCTCACACCCCTGATGTGACCCGGGAGCTGACCCTGGGGTCATGTCCGACAGGTGGCCTCTCATCTCTGAGGTGGCTCGGGGGCTGACCCTGAGGGCATGTCCGAGAGGTGGTCTCTCATCCCTGAGGTTGCCCGGGAACTGACTCCGAGGGAATGTCCGACAGGTGGTCTCTCATCCCTGAGGTTGCCCGGGAGCTGACCCTGGGGTCACGTCAGACAGGTGGCCTCTCACCCTGACGTGACCCGGGAGCTGACCCTGGGGTCACGTCAGACAGGTGGCCTCTCACCCCTGACGTAACCCGGGAGCTGACCCTGGGGTCACGTCAGACAGGTGGCCTCTCACCCCTGACGTAACCCGGGAGCTGACCCTGGGGTCACGTCAGACAGGTGGCCTCTCACCCTGACGTAACCCGGGAGCTGACCCTGGGGTCACGTCAGACAGGTGGCCTCTCACCCCTGACGTAACCCGGGAGCTGACCCTGGGGTCACGTCAGACAGGTGGCCTCTCACCCCTGACGTAACCCGGGAGCTGACCCTGGGGTCACGTCAGACAGGTGGCCTCTCACCCCTGACGTGACCTGGGGGCTGACCTTAAAGTCATGTCCGACAGGTGGCCTTTCAACTCCGACGTGATCCGGAGCTGGCCTCCTGGGGTCATGTCCGATAGGTGATTGCTCACCCCTGACGTAATCCGGGAGCTGACCCTGAGGTCATGTCCGACAGGTGGTCTCTCAGCACTGACGTGCCTGGGAGCTGACCTTAAGTTCGTGTCCGACAGGTGATCGCTCACCCAGCCGTGCAGCGTTACCTGACGGAGGTGTGGCGCGGACACCTGGACTGGCCCACCTGGAAGACGGTCGGCCTGTTCTTTGCCTTCCTCATATGCCCGCCCGTCTGGATGTTCTTCTCCCTCCCCATCGGCCACAAGTACTGCAAAGTTCCCGTCATCAAGTTCGCCTCCCGCCTCGCTTCCCACATCTTCTTCATCGTGCTGCTGATCCTGACGGTGGTGACGCCGCTGTGGCCCATCTGGCGGAGCACGTCGCTCATGCCGCACGTGCCCGAGTGGATGGTGTTCACCTGGCTGTCGGGCATGCTGCTGTCGGAGCTGACGAATCCGGGCGACCGCGGCGGCCTCGGCATGCTGCGCATAGTCAGCATGGTGGCCGGGGGCCTGGCGCTTGGTGTGCATCTCATCGGGTTCGCCTTCAGTACCGACTACGAGCGGCAGGACGTGCTGTGAGTGTGACGCAGTCCGGGGGTCGGACTACGCGGGGGGCAGTCGTGGGAGACGACCAGTGCAGCTGACGGCGGCCAGAGCAGGAATGCACTCGGGGTCCTGCGCGTTGATTAGCTCGCCAGGCCGAAACGTTCAGCTGTTGTTGAAGCCTGCTTGATATCAGTGTGAACCGTGACTGCAGTCCTTTCACGGGTGAGAGTTCTCATGCACCCTGTATGAAGCACGGCCCACTTTCTCCACTGCTGGCCGAGAAACCTGTCAAGCGGTGCTGTCGCCAGCGATGTCGCAGCTGCGAAGAAGCTCCCGGCAGTGATGTGTGGTCGCCAACAGGTACATCCGGAACCAGCTGCTGGCGGTGGCGATGCTATTCGCCTGCGTGCAGCTGCTGGACTTCCTGACGTTTCACCACCTGTTCGGCCCGTGGACGGTCATCATCAGAGCGCTCATGGTCGATCTCGGGAGGTCAGGACCCACTCCCAGTGCATTCTCGCGGCATGGGGTCTGCACTGGTAACGTAATCAACCAGCCAAAGCCGTGGAGATGTTATCCGCTGTCTTGCGGATCCGCCAGTTGCGATATGTACGGCATAGCTCTGACGTCACGGGGTCAAAGCTTAACGCCGGAGGATGCTACTAGATATTCCTTTTTCAGAATTCCAAAGAATGATTTTTCACGCTCTACCACGGGAGCGTTAGCGTTGTTTGAAATGCACTGAAACCATTGTTCGTGGACCACGTGCTATAATGTTGGTTGGCAGGAAGGCGCAATGGCGCCACGTTCCGTTATATTCAGCTTATGCTAGATAAGCGGAAGTTTTGGAGCATGTTGCGGTGCGGTGTTTGACTAATCCCTGCACGTTGCGTGTGTCCAGGTTTCTGGTGATCATGTCCATATTCGTGCTGGGCTTCACCCTGCACGTGGCCGCGATATATCAGCCGGTGCGGCCGATGTTCACCAATGGAACGGACTCCGGACTCGGCTATCCACCAAACGGTAACCACACGAACCGCGCTCGGCTACGCAGGAATCGTAGCCACCGATTCCGGCCTAGACCACCTCCAAACCGCAGCCATAAACCTCGGCTTGTAACACTCCATACGGTAACCACACGAACCGCGCTCGGCTACGCAGGAATCGCAACCACCGATTCCGGCCTAGACCATCTCCAAACCGCAGCCATAAACCTCGGCTTGTAACACTCCATACGGTAGCCACATCTACATGACACTGAGAACAAACGACGCTCGAAGTAACAGCCCAATAACTAACGCTTACAAATGTTGTTTTCGCGACGGTGCCAACTACTTCGTATGCCGACTGAGCACCGATTTTTTACGGGGAAGTTTCTTTAAACAACTGCATAGCATGACCAGAAGCGTCGCAGATCCCCGTGTGATGTGTGGTGACAACCACAGGCGTGAGGCAGCGGGGCAAGCGTGACCGCAGGCCCGATGTGGACGCAACAGCGCTCGTAGGCGGCAGTAGTCCTTAGCCTTTTGACAAGCGTTCTGTAGTTTTGAATAGCGCATGTAAAAGTACCTGAAACATCGCCTCATTTTAATCGCAGTAGTGTCGTTCTCAGTGACTGCTTGACCCCCTCACCTTCCTGTTTGGCGTCATAGTTTGTCGGAATGCCGTATCAGTCACGTTCTCCACTTGTATTCCGATTCGTTTGGTGATAATGCCCACCCGTCTTTGAACACTGCAGAGAAGGCTTCGGGTATTGTATTAGAGCATATTTTGATCCGGTCATTTTCTGCGATAATAAGTGTTTTGTCTCTAATATCAACGTTTTCTGTTACTGACGGCTACTGACTAGTGTTCCGTCTTTTGCCTCTCCGTGTTCGTTCATGCTGAATTTCTACTGTCCTATACTCCGTCCGTGTTCCGTCTTTTGACTCTCCGTGTTCGTTCATGCTGAATTTCTACTGTCCTATACTTCGTCCGTTCCCCGCAAGATGCATGCCCTCAACAACAGTCTTTCTCCCCAGCGAAAGTAGAGTAAACTATGCGGGTGCACACACATATGAATCGTCCTTCGCTGGCTTCTTTGATGTTCGATTCATCTCCAGAATGTTCTGTCCATATCCAGAACGTTCTATCCATGTACCCTTTGTGGCATCCAATTTTAAGGCTGTCTTCTCATATTCAAGTGCAACCCTCTCTCGGCAATAATCTGTGCCTAATACTCACTTCATGTTTTCTCCGTTGTTGGCATGTGTTATTTGTTACCATTCAGCTCTTGTACCACCTTAGCATTGATGTTCATGTAGCGCTGGGAGCGTGATTTTAAGGGACACCCGTTTAAGTTGCTACGTTTATAAAGTAATATGTTCAATACTTTCCAGCCACCAGAAGAAAGTCTGGATCTGTATTACCCCGTCGCTACTCATGTGACCTCTTCCGACCTCCACACGACACACGACCCCGTCCTCGGCGTGACCGCAGGGGTGCCATACTGAGCTCCAACTCGATGGGCTTGTGCTCCGCAGAGGCGCCGGTGCAGACTCCGCTACAGACGCTGGAGATGATGTTCTTCTCCATCTTCGGCCTGGTGGACACGTACGACTACCTACCACCGCTGAACTCGCACCCGGCCTGGTCGCAGACCCTCATCAAGTTCGTCTTCGGCTCCTACATGATCGTGGCCGTGGTTGTGCTCATCAACCTGCTGATTGCTATGATGTCCGACACGTACCAGCGGATACAGGTGGGGCTGGGGGAGTGGGACACACCGGCGGCGTCGTGTTGGCTCGCTCGCTTCCGTCCGGCAGGCAATGGACGAAAGACAATGGAACTGGACAATATTCATTTCTACAGTAAACAACGCGTGACACACGTGCTACGACCCGCAGTTAGCTACTAACCACTCCGGCTGTTTGTTTAGAATCGTAGCGACTTTCTTTTCACTGGGCTCCATGCAGGGACTACCGACAGGCTCTCTGCGTCGTCCCACATACTGGACGACGTCTCGATGTGCACACTCGATCTGAACAGTTTCTGATCTCGATCTGATCTGACTGTTTGCAGTCGAAATCCGACACCGAGTGGAAATTCGGCCTGGCCAAGCTGATCCGAAACACGAACCGCACCTCCTCGGCGCCCGCTCCCCTCAACCTCATGACCAAGCTGGTTGTCTACGTGCACGCCTTCATCAAGTTCAAAGGTAGCCGGCCAACTCCGTGACTATCAGTGCGCTGGGGACTACGTCTGGCTAAGGAGCAGCTCATTTAAAGTGCACACTCCAAGATTTGTCTCGTGAAACGTTGGCTAAGAACCACCCTGTGCTTGGACAGTAATTCGATAAAATGTCTGGTAACTCGTGTCCCGTTGAATAACTGCCTGATGAAAAGAAACAAAAATCAGCAAAGATGGATCTACTGCGTTTGTGAATACAGCTGCGCGCAATACCCCTTCACCTTCAACATGTCCATCGACTGTCAATTAAGCGCGGAATCCACGTGAGCAGTCCGCGCTCGTTGGCTGGTGCCATCGGCTGGCGTCCCTGTACTCGCTCCCTCGCCCGAGCTGCCATTGCGCCGCGGCTGACGCCCACCGTCCACTGACCCGTCCGTCGGCAGGCCGTCTGTGTGACCCGCGCGCGCTCGAGTATATGAAAACAGAACGGCTGCCGAAGGACGAGAAGAAGCTGGACATGACCACCAACGTCGGCGGCAACTGGATGGGCAAGATGCGAAAGAAGTCGGTCGGTCCCGGTCTCGGTAGGTGGCGCGCGGAGAGATAAAAATGTCATATATGTATATATATATATATATATTTATATGTATATATGACATTTTATATATATATATATATATATATATAAGAGGAATTGGCGTGTAGTCGAATGCAGGACGGGGACTCAGCACAATTGCGTAGTTGTAGATAAGCCAAGAGCATGCTCTTTCGTCACGTAGATGTGTTGCGTGGTATGCACTGTTGGCATCTTCGCTGTGTTGATGTTACGAATAGATGCATCGGTGTATTTTTATCGTTAGAAGAATGCATGTTTCATGGCGTATCAGTGTATCGTAAACTCGGCGATGAATTCGTCCTAGTGTTTGCCTTTTTCGGCTCATGTTAGGTTGTTAAGTTCATGGGTGTGGCTAAGAACCGGCATTTATTCTACGAGTTGGTGTAGTTTCCAGCACTGAAACCAAAATGCTTCTTGATGTCAATATGTTTCGTCACTGAGCCACACATGCACTGTTGTTTTGACTAGATTAGAATGCGTCCAAACAATTGTACATTGGGACGTGCTCTTTGTTTGTCCATCCAGTAGCTGTCGTCAAGTGACGATTCAACCGGCTAGCACAGGTGCGGGGCTAAGGGTTAATCCGAGCCACTGGCAGATCCAAATGGTTTTGTGAAGAATCGGGAAGAAAAAAACGAACGAAAAAACGGTTCTTTGATTTCCGACATTCCATATGCTCACAAGCTTGCTCTTTCCTTCTCCTAGCGTTTCAGTAACTAGCCGTTTCTAGCCAGCGGCCTGCGCCATTGGCCAGCCCCGCCCCTGTGCCGCCGAGGTCACTGTCCTGCAATGTAGGCAGACCGTGTCATTGCCCCGTCGTAGCGTAGCGTCCGCCTGCCCGCGCCGGCCCCGCGTGAGTCGCGGCCGTCCGGCTGGTCCGCACCGTACCGTGTTTCAGCGCTGCCCATGGCCGTCCACGGCGTCCGGCGGTCCACCGGCGATTTCGCCATAGGTACCGTCCAGACTCGCTCGCCCACCGGGGGCAATAAGGCCGTGCATGGTGCATGCTGTGACGCGGGGGTTGGTGTGCTGGCTGAGGCGATAACAGGGTACACTCGAAGCGGTGATGTTGCTGCGTTTTGAGTGCGTTGCTTGCCGCGGGAATTTTCTTTAAAGCGAATGACTCCATGCCATTTCTTATTGCGCACCGCGTTTCTCTGATTGATGAGTACTCGTGAAAAGTTGTTTTCCGCACGCATGGAGGCGACCATTCTCTCAGACTCCACAAGACAGTCTTTATCTCCGGACGGAGCGTGCCTACCTGGTAGCGTTGCCACATGCCAGACTCTGACGGCCTGGCGGTGACACGCCCGCAGATATGAACCACTCGAACCTGAGCGTCCAGCCATCCAGCGCGTCCGTCATCTCGGGGCCGCGCCGCCTGGAGAACGTCATTGACTGGCCCAAGGTAGGCGGCGCCACCTGCGCTCGGGCCGCGTCGGCAGAGCGGCCGATGACTCCTGGCGGCGTCACTGGCGGCGGCGACTGAGCTGGTGCCGCGTGAGGGTGGTCGTTTCTGTCAGAGATGGTATGACGCTCTGAAGCCCGTACCTTCTGTGAGAGTCCTCAGCTAATGGTCGAGTCAGGGGAGGTATCTTCGGAGGAGGAAACCTTCCGTGAGATTCCAAGCAGTGGCAGGAGACGGGCCTCATTATGCGACATGCTCGATCTGTGGGACATTCGGAGGAATAAGTGCGTGTTTAGATCAGTGGGGAAATTGCTTTCGGAAATGGTTCATCAAGCTAATGTTGAAAATATCGGACGTCGCATAAGTTGCCTGTGAGAATGGTTGACACTGCAGCCTTCCATAGTGGACTTGACTTTCAGGTTCGACCATTTGCGACACGCTCGATCTGTCAGGCATGCTGATGAGCCAGTGCACGTGTTTAGATCCGTAGAAAAATAATTTTAGAAATAGCTCATCAGAACACGATTGAACATGTTCAACGCCACGTACTTTGCTAGTGAGGATAGCTGAAACTGCGGCCTTCCATAACGGCTTTGGCTTCCGGATTCGACCATTCGTTAGCTCACAAAGGCCTCCCGCGCGTGCCATGCAATGTTCCCACCCGTGCCACCGCTGTGCGGTGGTATGGGATGGGCCAGCCGTCGCCCACCCAAAGCACATGTCACTCCACGCTGTATACAGGTGCTGTGGCCGCCCGGCACGGACCGGCGCCCGCAGTTGCCCGTTACCCCAGCCCTGCCGCCAGAACTGGCCGGCAAACGTGCTGGTTATTGAATTACCGGGCTGTCCACGTGTTGAGCCGTCGTATCTCACTGACGGCTGGAGATGATGACTGACCCATTGACAGTGAATGTCCCTTTTTAGCTGGTGTCCAAATTTTTGGACGATCGGAATCTTCCAAACGACATGGTAGGCTGCTGTATGCTAGACATGCACTAGAACCACTTGATGTGGTTTAGCCATCGTGTTGCTGTGGTCTACTTTGTACAGCAGTCGTGGTTATGACAGTCCTAGATAGATTTGTAGTGACGTGAGACTGCACGGATCTAGATGTGCTTTGTGTGTGGTTGTCCGTCCTGGTGGCTTATTCCGTCCCGACAGCTCTGCTGGTTAAAGCGTCTGCCCTTCGATTTGCCCGCCCGGTCCAGAGTGGGTTCGAGTCGCTTTAAGCGTGCGCTTTTTGTCTTTGGCTGGAGTGGCGTTAGAAGGCAGAACAGACGGTGCCGACCAATGGGGCACATGAAGCTATCGCCACAAAATTCTGCCGTTTAAGCGGAATTTCATGATCGGGTGGTGGGGTCAGGGCTCTAACAACAAACACTGCTTGGCGTGGGCGTTGATCCCAGAAATCTTTGCAATCAAAAGCTCCGTCCTTAAGTATTAAAATGGTGTTGCACAAATGTGTGTAGCTGTACAGTCCTACTCCAGCGGCCGTTACGGAACCAGATCCAGGCCGTTACAGATCCAACCTATCCAGCGAAATACAACTGACGTGTGCTTCTGAGCACAATCAGTACAGTCATAAACTCTCACATAAACGGATAACGGTGTTTATTGCAAATCTAAATTTTGTTTAACAATTTCGGTAAATGACTTCACTTTTCTGAAGAAGCAAAGTGAGAATCTTATTGCAGATGATTTGTGCTTAATATTCGTTTCCAGAGTTGTTAATAACGAAAACGTGCTTCAGGTGCAATTTATGTCATAATGTCGGCCGTTTGCAATGTGGTTATAAAAGTGGTGTCTGCACATCACTTATAATCATAAATTCAAACAGTTAGTTGATTGATTTAGCAAACGTTGTACGGTTTGCGCGCGACGCAAACAACGCTACACGAGGCTTCAAATATTCCGAATTGACATCACCATCTGCTTTCAACCGTGTGCTTTTTTAGGCAGGTTCTCAGTTTCCATATCTTTTGGTGCCGTGCAATTTTCTCGTGTAGCACATGTTGCAGCATGGGAGTTGTAAACATCGTAGACATGGTGCTGCACGATGACGCTACCCAAGTGCTACTATGTCCCTCGTCGCTTAGGAAACAATATGTTTGATAAATCGCATGCCAACTGTGCGGAAATGTGCCCACCACTACTGTTGACGTCACTATGTGCGTAACGTACTCTACGAGCCTGAATGCGTGCCGGTCTCTTTAGTTTCAAGACACGCGGCATGAGGCCTCCTGGTGAAAAAGGTTTCCCCAAGTGCATTAAAGTCGCGCTCTAGTTTTCAAATTCTCTTGCTGCGAGCCAGTTCACGGGTCCTTTGGCAAAAGAAACAGCCAGGCCCGCCCAAACTCGTGTAGGCTGGCTGAGCGTGCACGCTCAGCCACCAAATAGCTGTCCTGGCGATCAGACGGGATGTCCACGCCTCGTACGTCTCTCCTGTTAATACATGTGGCATACATGCTTTGCTGGGGCCGGCCCAAGCTCACAGCCCCTAAGACAGTGAGCTTTGGCACTTCTGGTGCCCTCTTAGACGACATTGCCAGTCGGGAGCCGTTGTTCGCCGTCACTGACGCGCCGGTGCAACCCGCAGGTGGTGGAGAAGTACCTGGCCAACACGGGTCAGAACACTTCCCTGCACAAGGGTGGCGGCCTCATGGACAACGACAGTGCTGAGGCCGAGCCGGCGGAGAACGGCCACGTCTGAGGTCAAGCTTAGGGCCAGGTCAGGGTCGCACACTGGGGCAAGGCCATTCAATGGGTCAAGATCGCTTCGCTGATTCGACGTCGCCATCGAGTCCAGGCTGATGCGTGATGCGGAGCCGGGCCGACGCGGCACCGGCCACAGGTCTCAGTGAACGCGGACGGCCTCGTCAGGTGGAGGACGCCGTTGACGCCCGCTCGCCGGCACCTGAGCGTGACTCGAACGAGGCCTTCGGCGTCCCTGACAGCGTGTACAGGACATGGTGCGCGTTGTCGCCCGTCAGGCGTGTCGTTATTGCCTGAGCTGTGTGATGTCTGATGTTCAGCCGCGCATTCTGTGCGGACCTGTGGCAAGACTGGGTTTGATGGCTATATTTTTTGCCTGATGATGTCAGTTGCAGCGTTTGTCGGAAACCGCGGGCGGATTTTTCGACAGCACGTGGGTGTAACGGAGGCCTTAAGTGCCACCCTAGCGACATCGTCATTTGCTGCGTCCCCCCGCTCTGATTCTCCTACGGTGTTCATGTTGGAAAGGAGAGAGGTATGACAAACGGGCCTTCGCAAGAGACCGCTTACCTTGAGCAACATGTAGAGCGGAAGCCGCCGGAGAAATGAAACTATTTTAACTGCACGCAGCGTGCATTTGTCTTGATCTAGCTCCTGGTAGCAGGTCAGAGGCGTGAAATTATTGTACATTTTGTATCATGCCTGGCTGGTTAGCTCCTTTGGGCAATGTGTTCGAAAGCACTCTAAGTACGCGACATTACCATCAGAAATTCGTCCTTTGGTAAATTAACTTGTGCTCTTAACCATGGAAAGCGCCACTTGGAAATGCCTCCGATTGCAAAAAGCTACACAACGGTTATGGCTTGTGTTTAAAATTAGCTTAGTCGTCATTTAGCATTCCACCTAATGTACTGTTGCAAACTAGGCATGTCCATGTGCATGCAATCCTCCAGCTCCGTAGACTAAAAACGACATAGGCTCAGGCATGTGGAATGTGTATTTTATACTCACTGTACGGTTCCAACAATATTTGCATGCTGCTAGGTGTACGACATGAACGGAGCCACCATATTAGATTACGTACAAGCTACCATGACTGCCGCACAGAGATGTGACAGTCAATGGACAGCGATAGTGTAGCGCATTTTGCAACGTCTAGCTCTTTGTCTTTGTACATATGGACCTGCTGAGCATTGACTTCAGTATTTTTATGCTGCTATTTTGTTTGTATATATTTTGATCACGCTGTGTACAAGCGGTTACAGAGGATGCAACATTTGCGGCTATTCATGAACTGTGAATTTTTTCTCGACCATTTCAGGCACTTGTTCCTACAACGCATGTGCGGTACATCAGTGACAGTAATTACGGTCTCGATAAGCGCTGGTCATATCGATGTTATCTAGTCCTTAGGGTAACAGCGTGTTTAGAGATCATCAGATGGGAGACGAAGGTATCGAATATGTCAAGACCTGAATGGCTCTGGACTGTTTTGATGTAAATAAACTTACCTCCTACAGACGTTTTATATTTAGGTTTCAGCCCTAGAAGATCTGCTGGCAATCGCCGCTCGAGCGCCGTGACTTTTTTCGTGTGTCGTTTGTGTTGGGTTTGAACGTCACCTCGAAGACGATCGAAGACAATGGAAGTAATGTGAGGTTGCACATTGCTCCGATCAATTAAAGCAGCTTGGTTTAAATTGTTTTTGTTTCTGTTCTTACTATCGGTGTTGAGATGTCATCCGCAGCAGGCGACACACCGGCAGGAGAAGATGCACCATCTGAGCTACCAGAGTCGACGGTTCAGGATGAAAAGAGCGCAGCAAGCCAGACGGAATCTAAGGATAAGTCGGTCCAAGCGGTGGAAAGCAAGCTCAGCCATCCGAGCATTTTTGATCCCGACGTTGAAGATGATAATAGGATTGTTTGGCGATATGGCTCTTTTTTCACAATAGTCGTATTAACAGCGGGTTTGTGGTTGAAGGCCATGTTCCGTTTGCCTAATCTCTTATTAAGGCACTCCGGTGGCGCATTCATTATTGCCTTCGTGTGTATAACCGTTCTTCTGTGCATTCCCCTCGCGTGTTTAGAAACATTTACAGGACAATACGGAGGGCAACCCTTCCTGCTAGTGATGGGTGAAGTGTTTCCTGTAGCGAGAGGTGTTGGGTTCGCAGTTGTAGTAGACAATTTTCTCGAAATGATCCTTTATGGAGTAAGCCTATCTCAGATGTTCGTATATTGTTTCTACGTCTTCAAATCCCCAGTTCCATGGGAAAAGTGCGACGAAAGTTACAACACGCAACTATGTGCAACGGACCACCTAGAAGAAAAATGTCAAAAGAACAAGACCAAATCTGGGTTTCTCCATCACAAATGCGTACCGGGAGCGCGTGTGTGTGCCGCATTTTCTATGGCAATGGTGAACGCATCGTACTGTGCTCACGCTGGCAACAGCACGCCAATTTACATGCCACTGCTTGACAGACCGACCGCCCAGGAGGAATACTATGAAGGGGACATTCGATACTACGGAAAGAAAACGCTCGAAACTCTACACAATTTCGATCGGCCGAAGCTTAAAGCTTCTATCGGCGTTAGGCGCAGTGTGGCTTCTCGTGTTGCTTGGTGCTTTTGCTGGTTTGCCTCCACAGCCATACATTGCTTGCGTGGTGTTCACAATACCATTTCTGGGGTACATGGCGTTTATGTTTTACGCTCTATGCTTGGACGGATCCAGTGATGGGATCCATCACTTGTTTCTAATGGACGGGCATGACCTGGCCAAAGCACAGTGCTGGGCGGATGCCGCGGGTCTGGCATTTGCTTGCATGAGTGTAGGATATGGTACTTACCCTTCATTAGCTGCGAAAAACCGGACGCAGGCGGCGATCTTACTGTGACGTGCTGACGGTCGGCGTTATCTGCATTATCCTGGTTCTTCTGACGACATTCGCCTTCTACGCACTAATCGGTTCGCAAGCGAAAACCGGCAAACTCACCATCATCGAACAGCTGGAACACGGCGTGGACATGGCGCGGGTGTTATTGCCCACAGCGCTCGGACGATCCAGCCCCGCCAAAGTCTGGACAGCGTTGTATCTCTTCACCGTTGCCATTTTCGGAGCGGGTTCAATGGTGCTGCACATGGCATGCGTCATCAATGACTTATCTTCGATGTGCCAATTCAAGTGCCACACAGTGGTAACGTGTTTTGCGGTTGTCTTCATCGGGTTTGGAATCGGCCTCTTGTTCTCCTTCGGGGGAACGATCTTCGTACTGGACACCATCGAGGAATCGATACTTGGTTCGAAGAAAATCGTTCTCAGCCTGCTTGTTCTCCTAGTCGTCATCTTCCTGTACGGCCCACGCAACTTGATACACCACATCCGCAAACGGCAGAAAATTAAACTGATCCCGGCGCCCTTCTTCTGGCAACTGAACTGGTATATTTTGTGCCCCTTGGGCCTGCTGGGCCTCCCGGTCCTAGCCGTGTTGGGAAAGGGCGGCACAGTCTTCCAGGACAACGTGCCGCTGTGGGTGAAGCTCGTAGCCATAGCCTACGAGTTCTACTACTGGCTCATCATTCTGGGTTTTGCGGTGCAGACGGCGGTGGCGTGGCGGCGCCCGTGTAAACCGCGCGGTGTCTGGAGGCTGGACCACACTGATGATGGCGACGACAACGACGGCAAGGACTCACAAGAATCCGTGGTGCTCAACGACGAAACGCTGGGCGACGTCGACTCTCAGGGCAACGTGACCAAGCGCTCGGAGACGGCGCTGGCCGCCGCGAAGCAGGACGCGCCGGCGCCGGGACCGGCCGGCGAGGCGGCGCCGACAGACGAGGAGCTCCTGCTGCCGGGCGAGAAGCGACGCGCCGACACAGTGGCGCGCATTCGTGGCCTCGAACGCGATCCGGGGCCCAACGAGGCGGACCTCTTTACGCGGCTGCACTCGTGGTCGCGTGGTCCACCACGGCCGCAGCCACAATCGGCGCCACCGTCGCCCGAGCAGTCGGCGCCGCCGCCGCCGCCGCCGCCGTCCAAGCCCAGCCTGGACAGCATCAACACCGAGTACGCCAACTTCATGGGTCGTCAGAGCCCGGCGATGGTGGCGCGCGGCCTGCCCGTGCCCGAGCAGGAGCGCGTGGAGGCCGAGGGCGCCAGCCGACTACCCTGGCGCGACGATAAACTTCGTACAGAGCTCGGTCCCAACCTGCTCGAACGCATGACGCCACGCGCGCGGCGCGGCCTATTCGGCCGCGGCCGCGTCTCAGTCGAGATCCCCGGCAGCCGCAGCCCGGAGCGTGCCGGGCCGCGGCCGGCCAGCGTGGCCGCCGTCGGGGAGGAAACGCAGCCGGCGCCGCCGCCCGGTGACCCCGCGCAGGACACGCCCTCGTTGATGAACATGCTGCGCAACATGAACACGTGAGCCGCCGCCGAAATCGTGCAGATTTGTGTCCGCGGTTGTCCGTGAGAGGAATGTTTATGGGCATGTGGTAGATCAAATAAATAGTTGCGTTAAGATGACGTTTATTGGCGTGATCAGCACGCATTGCGTACATTCGACAGTGACAGACGCGGAAGAGCTACATTCATGAAAAGCTCAGGGGATAACTGCTCCATCAGGCACCATTTACTACCAATTTCGCAATCCCGTAATGGCGTGACGCGGCGTTTCCATCATAGCGTGATTTAACCAGACACTACAAGCGCACCAACGTTGCTATACTATAAGGCGGTGCACTCCCAAGCATACAACTTGCAGCGGGGAGTCGATTTTTCAGCTTATAAAACGCAAGCGTTCCAACACTCCGGCACTAAGACGAGGCCTGGCTCGGCAGAGCACGTTCGTGAGCCTACGGACGAATTATGGTTTGCGCCTCTAACAGATCACATTCACGCTAACGGCCCACACAGTTGCCACCCGAATCTGCATTCGCTGGACCAGGCTCATCAGCCACACATGACTTCTTTCCGCACATCTTCCAGAGCAGAGGGGCTGTTCCACCCCCAGCCCCCACACGCCTCAGCGCTGCCTGGCTCCTCCCACCCCCAGTCCTTTCAACCAGCACGATCACGCCGCTCTTCTTCGGGTCCGCTGACGACACGAGTAGCGGCCCACACTCGCCCCACTATCTGCTGCCTTCACCAAGCCCGTTGCTCTCTCGCTCGGAGGGGGGGGGGGGGGGGGGGTGGCACATTGCCCGCTAGCCCTCGCCACCGCTGCGGACCAACGCTCCCCCGCATAGTCGCTGCCTACGGGCTGATGAGGGCGCTGTTCTTGCGGAAGAGCGCCGAGCGGCGCAGCGTCTCGGAGATGGCCTCCACCGAGTCGAAGAGCGCCAGATGGGCGTTGGCAGGAGGCTTCAGCGACTTGCGGCGCGTGGAGCGGCGCACGGGCGTGATGACGGAGAGGATGGTGCTGTCCTCGCCCACCCGCAAAGCCGCCAGCCTGCAGCGCACCGAGCAGCGGCGTGTCACGGCACCGGGTCGGACTCGAACCTACCGTCCTCCACAACACCACATGGGGTATGGACAGGTACTGGGCAAATCAAAACACGGTTTAAAACTGAGCACAAATGGATCAGTTGGGACAATGTCCCAGTGGTTAGCGAGACGGGCTCCCACGTGGAGCGAGGAACGGGGAGCGGATTCGAATACCGGTGACACCACGGCCCCTGAGCGCCCACATGGCCAATACAGTCACTGGCGCTCCCTAAAAAGTAGCGACGTGCGTAACGTTCCCTAAAAAACAACAAATGGATCAGTGGTCCATCATGACCCCATTCGCACTTCATCGTCTTATTGGCACTGTTTAGACAAGGAAAGCACAAAAACGATATCTCATAGAAGACGTGACACCCAGGAAGTGGATTGTTAGGTGGATACTCGGGACCAGCTTTGCACACCAAGTGTTGATAAAAGGAGCACGAGAAACGTTTGCCGCCCAAAATTACGGACAGCGAAAGCGGCGCGCAGAGGCTTTCAGTGAGCCTAAGATTACAAGTATGGTGCTCCATCCACAGCCCAAAAAGGCAACACCGTCTTAAAAGTTTCCCTAAGACATTCACAAACCCTTTTCCGATATATTTGTATGCCTGATGTGGCGATGGCAAATGGGACAATCTCTTGAAAACGGAATACCTGGACCAAGAGCAAAGGTCAACAAAAAAGGAAGCTGGTAGGAGATAACGCGTTGGCCGGCATTCCACGCTCTGCACGGGCCACTCTCGAACGCACCTGCTGCGCCTACTTCGCACCTATCTCTGCGCCTGTGAACGCACCTACTTCTGTGCCAACAATATTCCGAAGCCAGGAAGCCAGTGACATGAAGTCAAAGACGGTTTCGGTGGCTTCGAAACTCGGCATTGTGAAGCCAAACCTACAGCCAGCGGCTCCATTTTCTAAACCGCGAAGAACCCGAAGCCAGCGGCTTGCTTCGAACATCGTGCGCGCGATGCCAAAACAAGGGCAGTATGGAAAGTGCAGCTCATGAGTCATGACGACACTGTTGGTCACAGGCGTGGAGACGAAGTCAGGCTTCTGGTTTCAGAGCCGAATCCGAGGCCAAGACAATGATACAAAGCCAAAGTCGAAGTCGAGGCCGATGGTTTTGAGGTTGGTGCAAAAGCGGAGCCGAAGCCAGTGCCTTTGATTAAAAAAACCGTGAAGCCGAATCAGAGGCTTGTGGCCTTGAGCTTTGAATATACGAAACCATAGACAAACGATCCCTTACGATAGTCAGCGACTCGAACTTAAAAAAGTGATGTTGAAGCCGAAGGTCATCAGGTTAAAATCAGAAGGCGGGAGCCGAAGCTAAATCTAGTATATAACAGGGTTATGAGACTAAACCATTTTTGTCGTCTGTTTAAACTGAGTGGGATCAATGGGACCACCGGTACTTTGCGGAGTGACTGAAACGGCATGCTAGGATGGAAAACGGGACATTTTCGGACTATCATCCTCTTTGGTGCCAGTATTTCTCAAGGTTTCGGAGCCTAGTTCCACGGCCGTCTTCAGGTGTTACTTGGCGTTGAGAAAGAACCACTGATTTTGGGCTTTCAGTCATGTTTGCACTGCAGCCCCGAACGTTTGTGCGGCATATCATCGGCACTTGTGAAGCAAGATCGCGAATGCAGTAGAAAAGTCACTAAAAGCGATGACTGCAGGAGAGCACACTTCATGATCGCAGGAACTGCAGACGTAGCCATCATTCAAAAATTGTCCGAAGCCCGAGCGGAAGCCAGCCGTTAAAAATGAAAGAGCCGAAGCCAACGCCAATCATTTAGCATAAGCTTAATTGTGGACTCAAATGAGGCAGGATGCAGTCTGCATCGATGGCACGAGCGTTGGATAGCCTTGGGCACGACGGAGGAAGTATTCATGTGACAAGTCCTAAAAGCGACTGATGTAGATGCATTTGTGGCGTGCTTTTCGGAGGTGTTGGACATACCACATGCTCCACATTTTCGAATGGTTCGTTTTTCGCCATGGCGTCGTCGGGGAGCCAACAGGGACATAGTTGGGCAGACTCAGCAGTGGCGGGAAAGTTCGCCATCATTTCGCGTAATGCCATACCCAGACGATTGTAAAAGGATCAATGCACACAGCACTCTGCTGTGTATGGCAGTTAGAGCTGCTGAGCTGAGATTGAAGCTGAGGATTCGTGGCTCTTTAACATCCCAATCCTACGGTGGGTGGCTTAAGATGCGAGGTTCGAACAGGTTCCAATATATGCAAATATCTGCATTGAAACCACGACATATCATGAAGGAGGACAGGTGTTTCAGGCCGATGCCGAGCCGACATAGACGGGCTGCGTTTGTTAATCTGACGGAAAATAAACCCAGATAATATCTGAGTTGGTTTTCAAATGATAGCTTTCATGATTCAGTGTGCTGCTTGGGATTCGCGTCCCGATTTGCAGGGCTCAAATCCTCGTCTCAGGATGCAAGCCTCGAGCATACGCAATATTAGAATTATTCCAACCTAACGAATCCGGATACACAGCTTAAGCGCCGCTGCTACCTGAATTTATATCACCCGTTGCGAATTTTTCCTCATATTACCCCGAACTTTAATCTTTACCGCAGCGAAATCGATACTGCACGGAAGTCCGGAATATTAACAAGAGGCCAGCGATAAAGTTCCGTAGCGAATGGACAATCCTGAGGTACATGCCTGCTAACGAGAGGACGTCAAATGCAGCCGTACCAGGTGAATGTGGCAGTAAAGACCAGTGCGCCACCAGACTGAGTCCTGCCAGAGATGCCTGGGCCGCCGTCTCCGTGGCTGGCGCTATGTGAAAGCAACTGGCTGCTGCTGAGCATGCATGTGCACTCTCTTGATTCGGTTCCGAAGCGAGTGCGAAAGACTGCCGCTTGGTGGCAGGTGAACCACACATATCAAACACAAAATCTGAGACACACTATGGGGATGTCGACTTACGTGTCAAGATCGGAGGTCATTTTCAGATGCATCCCAACATTACTCAACACGCCTCCAGCACTTTGAACAGCCCCCAACGCTATGCGCTCACTGTCCGCCGCCACTCACTTTTTCAGCACGGGCTCGTCGTCGACCAGCGCGTACTTGATGACGGTCGAGTCGAACACGTTGCTGCGGTCGAGCAGCGGGCGGCGGGGCGTGCGACCGTCGCGGCGGCGGCGGGCCGGGGTGCCAGCCGCCGCTGCCGGGGGTCGGTTCTCGGCGTCCGCCTCTTCGCCCGCGTCGGGGCCGGCGGCGCGGCGCACAAACTGCTCCAGGCCTGAGATCAGCTCCGCCACCGGCTGACCGAGGTCAGGGCCAAGGTCAGAGGTCACGGAATTCAATTTAACGGTCACAGACGCTGTCAGTAGCGATGCCGGGCACGCCCAGGGACGGTCGCAGTGGGTGGGGACGGCGGTAGACGGCGGTGACAGAGGACCGCTCCCGTGCAAGGACAATGGTGCGGTCTCAGGCGCGGTGAAAGGTAAGGTCAGAGGAGGACTCGAGAAGTTCAGGGATGTGACCAGGAGAGGTCACAGACCCGGTCACAAGCGAGCCAAGGACTGGCTGGGGGTACTGACTGATCAGTCTCAAAAGGTCACAAATCAAGGAGGGAGATGGGATAGTCAGAGATCAAACACGTCCAATCAAAAGGCGCAACAGTCTTGGGTGGTGCCGGCCAGTATGAGGGGGGGGGGGGGGGGGTTTGAACAGGGGAGGGGTAGGAACGGAAAACCGCACGCACCGCGTGGTGATCGCGGTCGCTTTTATCTTTTGATGTTCTTTCCGTTAAAATGAAGATTGAAGACCAGAGTGTGCAACGTACTAGGGTTCCAGTTGCATGCGATGCAACTAACTGCAGCAAACACAACGTCCAACATTTTCGAGCACCAACTACAATTTTTCTGTAAATTGCATAAAGGCAGTGCCAGCCTTGTTGCCCAGACATAAAGTTCTGATCCTATCTAAATGGCGAAATGTCCCATTGGTGTCAGACATACGCCTGGAGCTCACAAAGATCCAAGTATCAAGGGAAGCGGGGGAACATTTGGGTCCTGGATCTACCCTTAACATCCAGTCGGCTGTCTGGTTGGTGTACGTCACACATAATACACAATACTCTGTCATTACACAATACTCAATACATATCAAACAAAGCCGAACAGCGCTGCCTGGCGGGCCTGACAGCCCCCGGAGCCGACCCCAGCGCTATCTGACGGCCGTGCTGGACTGACCTCTGCGTGGGCGCGCGACGCCTGCCTGAAGCAGTCGAGCACCTCATCCAGCTGGCCGTCCCGCTCGGCCACGGAGGCGCGGCACAGCCAGAACCGGGCCCGGCCGGCCGACGCCGGGTCACGGGACAGCCGCTCCAGCCAGCTGACGACCTGGTCCGACGGCAGACCCAGCTCCTGCGGCAGGTCAGGTCAGGTCCGGTCGGACGCTCCAGCCAGGTGACGGTCTGGTCCGCCGGCAGACCCAGGAAGTGCCAGACTGGGTGCTGAAGGACCACACTGCAGCCAGTAGCAGACCTGTTTGGGGCTATACTAAGCACCTGGACCGTGGCAGGTCGGGTCGTGGAGTCACACGAGATGCTCTTTCCAGCTGACGTACTAAATACATGACATTAATCCGGTCTTCGAATGGGCCACCCTTGACATCCATCACGCTGCTCTTAGGCTCACCGCCCGCAGACAATCATCAGCCAAAACGGCAGCCACACGCCAAGTCGGCCGCATGGAGGAGCAGCGCACCTGTAGTTCCTTCAGGTCGGACAGCACGTTGTCCACCTTGTGGCCGCCGGCGCCGTCCCCGCCGGCCGGCTTGGCCTCCGGCGGCGGCCACGTCTCCGGAGTCTTGGCCACCGCCGGCATAGGTGCCGCAGCTTCGAAGACCGGTGTCGTCTGCGTCGTGTTGGCGACACGAGGCGTCGCCGCCTGCGGACGATGGAGGGTTCAATCTGGTCTCTGCTCCGAGCGAAATGAAACGTTTGTGCACAAACGCAGTGGCTAAAGCATTAGCGCGGAAGCGGCGGGCACGACAACCTGCTGAGAGCATGCCTATGATTCAGGGTTGGTCATGTGGGACTGATGTTCCACACGACTGCAAGAGTGGTTCATGTGACTTGGGCTTTGGGGCGCGCCCACAGCCCTGATCTCACGGCGACCATAATAGTGGCTCTCCACGGCTGCGTGAGTTCACGAATAGAGGAAGTCAACAAAAGCCGCGTTCAACATCCGCCGACAGTCACCAACTGACCGCACAGTCGCAGCGCCCAGAGGCCCAAATAATCAACGCCAGCGGAGGGTCTCCACCACCAACACTGGGCCACCAGCCCCACCGGCCTTCGGTGGCGCCCCCCCCCCCCTCGCCAGCCCACTCCAGCCAGCACGGCTGCGCGGCCGGTGTCCGGCCGGCCCTGACTGACCCGCAGCAGAGGAGAACCGGGGTCACGCTGCACCCGGCGGGCGGAGAGCCGTGGCGTCTGCAGCGACTCGGCCACCTCCCGGCCGAAGCAGTGCAGGTGTCTGTCGGCACAGGTCGGTGTCGGGCACGCGTCCGAGCGGAGAGGGGCGGCAGGCGGCTCTAAGACGGGGGTCAGTGGCCGAGCAACGTCGCAGCACAACTTGGCAGTCTAGCCAAACTTTGAGCCAAACTGAATGGGAGGCAAGATAAGTTGGCAGTTGGAACAACTGGGTAACCAGGCAACACTATGGTGCAAACTGGGCGGTGTAACAACACTCTAAGACGGGCAGTTAGAAAACTGACAACTGGATGGGGAAGGCTTTGAGACAACCATCTAGTCAGAAAGTCCGAGCTTATCAGCAAACTGACATAAACTGCAGCACGTGGGTGACCCATCGTTTGATCAGCCCAATGGTGATTTATAGTGCCGGCGGGTCAGCTAGCGCCCCTCAACAAGCTCCACAAGCCTGCCCCTGCCCGTCCGCCTCACCTGAATGAGGTAAGCTGCTTGCCCCGGCGGGCCAGCCACTGCTCCAGCCGCTGCTGCAGGGTCTGCGCCGACGGCGTGGCGTTCGCACGGCCGGAGCCGCTCGGAGTAGACACCGACCAGGCGACGCCGCCCTTAGCGGCCGAGCGGGCCGGCGTGGGCGCGGACGACTCTCGTGCGGGCCGAGCCGAGCCGTCCACCGACCAGGCGACGCCGCCCTTGGTGGTCGAGCGGACCGGCGTGGCTCCAGTGGGGCGCAGAGAGCGTCCGGGCGTGGCGCCAGACGCGGGCACAGGGTGCTGGAGTGGGCGAACCGAGCGTGAACGGCGTAGGTGAACACATGAACGAGCGCATAGTGCGGGAGGAAACCACTGACTGCGAAGACCAAGACTCCGCGACCAAGAATGGCAACAGCACACAACGTAATTGATGGCCTTCGAAACTGCGATAGAAGACGAACGGATCAGATCAAGATGACGCGGCTGTAGTTGACACTACGGTAAAGACAGGGTACAAGCAAATGTAAAGCCACGACTGCCCTCTCCCAGGACGTCCGGCACACTCAGACAGTACATGTCCTGGCAGCCAAACTGGCGGCACTGACGCCGGCCATCCGAGTGTACCTGCGGCCGCCGCGTCCCCGTCGCCGGATGGAACAGTCTCCAGCGCCATGGAGGAGGTCCGGGCGCGGTGCATGGCTGCGGCCGGGTTCACCGAGCGCGACCGGTGCATGGTGCTCAGCGATCTGCGCAGGGTGCCGGCCGGGCCGGCAGGCGGCGCCAGCGAGCCACCGACAGACGGCGCCACCGCCGGAGGGCGGCGCTGCACCGGCTTCACGACGCGCGCCTGCTTTGGCGACGGCGGCTTCTGCGCCGCCTGCTTTGGCCGAGCGAGTGCCGCCAGCCGCTGTCGGCTGATGCCGGTGCGGACGGCGGCGACACGAGGCGGAGACCCGGCGGCGGCGGTGGCGGCGGCGGTGCGGGGCGAGCGACGCGACGCGCCCGGACGCGCGATCCCGGGGCGGACGACGGGCAGCGTCTGGCGCCGCTCAGGACCGGCCTGCGCGCCGGCGCCGGGTCGTGGGGAGCGCCGGGCGGTCAGCGTCTGCCGGCGCCCTGCCGGTGAGCGACGACCGGCCGGCGGCTGGCGGTGGGCGGGCCCGGCCTGGGAGCGGGCGGCGGCGACGGCGGACCGTGCCGCGCCGGCCGGCGGCCCCGGCAACGTGCGCCGCCGCTCAGCCTCGCGCTCCGCCTGCTGTCGGCGGGCCTGCACCAGCGTCAGCCGCCTCTGCGCCGCCTTGTTCAGCCGGATGCCCGCCACGGCCGGTGGCGGCCCGGCGGCGACTGTCGGCCGCGGCGCCGGCGCCCGCGGCTCGGCGGGGCGGGCGGGCCGCGCAGGCTTCGGCGCCGCTGCGGCGGCGGCTGGTCGCGGCTGCAGCAGACGGGACGCCACGACGCGCGGCCGGGAGCCACTCGACCGCGACTCGGCGTCCATGCCGAGGCAAGCGGCAGCGGCCGCGGCGGCGGCGGCGCCGCCCGTGCGACCCCGCATGATGCGCTCGGCCAGCTTCTGACGGCGAGCCAGGCGCCATGCCTCCAGCTGGTCCTGTGTGACGGGCGCCGGCCGGCTGTGCGAGTCCACCTAGCCGCGGGCGCGCCGGCTGGCGTCAGTCGCAGACAATGGCAGGCGCACGCACACAGCGAACACACACACTCGAACACACGCAGACGCGCATGCCAGTAATGCAAACATCGAGCCCACGACGATAAGCACGATTACTTTTCGCTTTTCATGGATGTGCTATCAGTTACAAGACCAGGTAAGGAAGACGCGCAACAACTTTGCCATTCATGTAGCATTTGACAGGGGTCACACCACTTCGCTCCGCCCCTAACCCCCCCCCCCCCCCACACACCCTCTCCACACCTTTGGAGCGGTGGTGGGTTTGGCGGCGACCTGCCGGTTCTGACCCACTTGCCGGGGCGCCAGCGGGGGCCGCTTCAGAGGCGGACGGCTCTGCGGCGGCGCCTGGCGGCCGGCGCCCGCCCGCAGACCCGTGTCCACGCGAGACTGCACGGCGCGAGCACGCTTGTGCGCCGGGCCAGAGTTGGCCGACGAGGACGACTCGGCGCGCGCTCGTTTCACAGACGGCATCGTCTGCAGCTGCCGGGTGAAGGAAGTGATGACTGCTTGATACATGGGGCCTGTCGACTTCATGGCCATGCTGCATCCAAGATTACCAAAAAACTTTGCGCGGCGGAAACCATTACAGCTGGGGACCACATTCAAGCCATTTCTTTTCTAGGAAGACCAATGATATATACTAAGATTTGGAGAGCTGCCCCCTGCCTCTTATTCCCAGTCAGCAAAATAAAAGGTGCATTCACTGCTGAGGGGCACCTAACTCCTAAGTAACATCAAGTGACAACGATGACCTGAACAAGGCACATGAGTGCGCCAAACTCAGTTCAGGCCAGTGCACCAAAATCACGATCTGCTTCGCTTGGAATGTATTTCTAGGATATTCCAGCGTCAAAAAACCATAAACATTATGAATCATGGAAACAGGGACCATCTCTGCGTTGCAAATATTGATACCCGTACGCCGAAACTCGGCCATCCGCATGTACGCTGCATATGCGTTCACATCACTGCCACAACATCGCCGCTACAGGCATGCTCGGCATAGTGTGCTTTTTCTTAGTCCGCTCTCTTGGACAACTCAACCCGTTGCCTGCGGGTTGCAGCTCGTGCAAACCTTCCAAAGCGTTTCATAACCACCCAAAATGGTCAGCAAATTCTCACTCACACTTGTTCCTGTGAAACATTCACAACTGTAATAGTTTCACATTGCCTAAAAGTAAGCTCATAGCCTGCTCACTTCCGGAATAGGGACGCGAGGAACAGCCTTCACACTAGACACCTACCTACCAACCATGGCCGCTTATCTTATAATAGCGAACGAACATTGCCTGCTGATGCATGAGGTGCAACAAGAGCACAGAGAAACAACTTAACCCCACACTCACATGCACAGTGCCGCAGTCGCCTTAATCCAGACGCGCCTACAACCCACGGCAATTCAAACTTCAAACTGGGAGCCAGTACGTGTTGGATCCCGGTGATGACGCACGTAAGGCGGCTCTAAACGGGGTTGTTGCCAGGAGTGCTTAAGATTTATATTGGTCGAATATAAGCAATCAATACATCAACTAGACTAAAGATTCACACAAATGCTTCTTTTGAAGCAATTTGCAAGTTTTTACAAATATCTGGGTGTTTTTGAAACCAACCTACGACATACGCGTCGACCAGCTGTGTGCGCCCCTGCCCATTTCGCTGATAACCCTCCAGATAGAAAATATATACAAATTTCGGCGATTAATGACATTTCAAGTTTAATCAGAGAAAAATTAATGAATGAATAGCTTTAAAAAAATTCTGAAATTTACGAGAACAGTTTTCACTCACTTTAAATCAAGAGCTTTATTACGGATGTTTGTGTACAATGACAAGCAAGGAAATTTGGCGCACCGAGAACGTCTGCACGCGCTTGTGGCGGGGGTCGCAGGAGGTCGGGGGCCGCGGTTACTAAAAGTAGAGTCCAGGAACCCCCAGAGGGTGATGCCTAGGCCATCCAGCGTTGTGTTCAAGGCGACTCAATATCAGGTGTAAGGCAAAAGAAGATTGCGCTAAATAACCGAGGACTGATTCTCCTGTCTGTGTTGTGTGCCTGCATTGTTCTGGGCCCTCGGTTCATCATTGCCTTGTGACGCCGGTTGCGTTATTTTAAAACAACCAGTTGCAAAGAAAAGGCTTTTGAAGATGCCCATTGAAAATATGGAGGAACAGGGGCTGGAGAAGAACCCCAAGCTTGAGATATCTCAATGGATCTTCAGTTTGACAATTCCATCACTAAAGAACGATCCGATTATAAAGAAAAAGGCTCATGGAGGCCATCAAAGAAGATTGTAAGTGATATGCTGACTGCTTGGGGTTATATACTTAAAAAATGTACCAGAGTCACACTGTAGGATGTATGAATTCACAATGTTTCCTACACTTTTGGTTTCCCATTTTACCTAGCTCCTCTGCTTGTCAATGATATGTTCCTCTCTAAATGTAGGGGATCATGCATTAGGGGTGTACTTACCTTTGTTTGCAAGTAATATACTTTGTGAAAGTTACCAGCTGCTTCTCATTATTAATTTGCAGTGTAGTGTGTTGATACTGTAAAGTCAGTGTTCATAAGGACATGTAAGCCAGCTAGTAAAAAATTCATCCACCTTACCAAATGCTCACACAAAGAGGGATATCACATGCCAGTGTGTCAAGCCGCACAATTCCCTGTGCCAAACTCAGGTTAGACCTAATTGAACTGAATTTTCACATTGTTCCATGTGAAAATATTTTAAGATCATTTTTCCTTTTAAACATCCTTTAAAGTAATTGCATTCCTGCAATGTCAGCTCTGTGTGCTAAAATTGGTGGTAGCTGTATACTAAACTTTGGAGTGCTCTGAGATACAGTATTTGTGTGCTTTCCAAAATGCTGCTTTTTTGTCAGAATAATCCATTTTTTCAGCAGTTTGGCACATGGTTTTAGTTTTCAGTTGGTTACCATGGTACCAGACAGCACAAAAATGCATTTGACACTGGTTGTGCTTTTCGGATAGCAACACATCAGTGTCTGGCAACTCAGCACAGGTACACAGGAAATTCAAGCAAGTTTAGAACAGGGTGCTGCCAATTGAAGCAATAATAGAGCAAATTGTGCTAGAATAGCTTGAAAATTCAGCATGGATTATGACACTGATATGGGGTAGACATTTGAAGCAAAATAGATTCTTTTGCGGATTGTCAGTGGGATTATTAGCTCTAAAAATGGGAAAAATTAAGATAGTTCAAAGGATCATAGTCAGAAACAGTAAATATAGCATTATGGCAGACACACTGATAGAATAATTGCTAAGGCTATCATCCCTGTTGGGTGTGTTAGTATCTACACCATGTTTTGGCCAATGAGCACACTGACCATTGTGAGGTGATGTGAAACCCTGAGAAGGACTGGATGATATTTGGTTTAAGCCAGGGATGTAATGAGCCTACCCCTGATACTAATTCCTTGTTTTCACATTTCTATAAAACTGGTAGACAACAAAAGAAATCATATGCCAGCTAACAATGTTGGCAGATCTAAGCTCTGGGATCAGGGCCAAGCCCTAAACCTGAGCCAAATGATTTCAGTCAGTGTTAGGTTGTATTCAGGCAGGAGTGGCAATCACATCAACTGACAGTCTCCTTACATGACATACATTGTATTTGTCCATCTCCAGATATGGCTCCTCTGTATGAGCATGTGTGCAAACAGCTGGGTTGGAAGGTGGATGCTGCACTGCTGAAGTCCATGCAGGAGCACAATGCCACCCGGCTGAAGGAGCTTGATGACAAGATCGATGATGCAGAGAAGAATCTGGGCGAGATGGAGGTGCGGGAGGCCAACCTGGCCAAGTCGGAGCACCTCTGCCGCATCGGAGATAAGGTGGGTCGCAGTTTCAGGTGGGGCTGAAGTGTGATAAGTTTTGGCTTTTGATTTGGTTGGCTGTATTGGCGACTCTGTCACTTGTACTCAGCACTGGTCAGACTCGGACCTCTGCTGTGTCTGGATAGGTGAGAGGTGAGGTTTGTGTTGCTATGTAGCTGGTTGTTTTTGAATGTCTTGGGGAGACTGTTCGCATTAGCTTTACAACCAGTTGCATGTGTGAATGCTGTTTAGGTGTGATGCTATGCCACCTCTGTGCTTCAGGGTGAATATGTTGGTCTCATCACCTAGCGGCGCTGGGTCTGAATCCCAGACCAGATGCCCAGCCTTAGTGTGTGACACATAAAATCCGACAAAAGTCTGCCTGGGTCCTCCTTGGCGAAAGGACAGAGGAAACATTATCTGTTCGACTGAATGGGATAACGGATGTGGTTGGTTCAGGATGCATGCGGCAAGCTATGCTTAGCTGAATGTACCCTGAACCCAAAGCCACCCATGTAGATCATTGGGTTAAGTGCTCACCCTCATGGAGTCTGGAACTAAGGATGGAGGAATCTAGCCAAGGCCTGTGTGGCAGTGGGTGGCCGGGCACTGGTGACATCAGTTCTTGACATCAGGCTGCTGTATCGGAATACTTAGGTTGGAGCTGCAGTTTATCTAGTCATGGTCTGTGACTTCTGTTGGGGGGGGGGGGGGGGGAGGACACGCCAGTCCTGACAGAAGTCGTAATCTTGTCATTATAAGTGCCCCATGGTTCAGCCCGCTACGGTGCTCACTGCTGCCGCTTCTGCAGGATGGCGCCATCTCAGCCTTCCGTAAGACGTACGACAAGACGGTGTCGCTCGGGCAGCGGCTGGACATCGTCTTCCACCTCATCAGGATCGGCCTCTTCTACATGGATAACGATCTCATCACCAGGAACATCGAGAAGGCCAAAAGGTTCAGTTTGATAAGAACGCTGGCGGCTTAAAGGAAAAGTGCGCTACATTTTCGTTTGAGCTTTGTCTGTATGCATGCATAGGCACTAGGATAAGTGTGTCTGATGCTGACTCCAAAGCCAGTTTACTCGAATCGGGTCCCCATCAGTCAAATTTACTTTTCGAATAGACCCGCGGAATTCTTCCATTCAAGTCCTCGCCCATCATTATGAAAGTTGTTCGAGCGGGCCCCGCTCCTGCCTACCTCTTTCTCATAATGTTTTATGTGAAGGTTTGCTTATTTTGTCATCTGCGGACCCAGGCACCCTTTCGTTTGTCATGTACAATAACAACTAGTATCACACATTTGCTGCTTGAGTTTTGTGATAAACCCTAAAATTAGGAACCTTCCTTTAAGCTAGCCAGCAAAAACTTAACGGAGTGGCGCCTACTCTGAGGCGGTGGAACTAGACGCCGATAGGCGCAACTACACGGCATGTTTCAATGCCTAGGGTCACTCACCAAATCTGCGCAATCTGTGCAGCATGCCCCTCGTCAGTGATTCCTTCTCGCTGGCTTTCTCGTGCCATCTGACCCCGGCAAGTGTGACCTGAGTTGGCCCGCGGTGACGGCGCCTCCGTGCCGCTCAGCCTGATCGAGGAGGGCGGAGACTGGGACCGCCGGAACCGGCTGAAGGTCTACCAGGGCGTCTACTCGATGGCCGTGCGCGACTTCAAGGCCGCCGCGCAGCTCTTCCTCGACACTATCTCCACATTCACATCGTACGAGCTGATGGACTACGTCACCTTCGTCAAGTACACCGTGTACAGTAGCGTCATCGCGCTGCCGCGCCAGGAGCTGCGCCAAAAGGCAGGTGGTGCCACTGGAGCTGCCGCGGTTCGCCGGGGCCATCTGCTTTCCTCCGTGGGCGACTCCAAAGCTGGCACCCCGCGATCAGATCACCCAAATCTAGAGGCATCGCGCTCAGCGTTGCAAATCGGTGCGTCTGGCGCCGCTTTCTATGCAGAGTGCTCTCTGCTAATCGATGATAAACAGGCGGCCCGAATCCCCGGCGCTGGGCCGCGCGCCGGCCAGGCTTTCCGGTGCGGTAACCGATGCGGCGCGTCGCCGTCTCGCGGCCCTCCCGGCGGGCATATCTGACGGCCAGCGGGCGTGATCGGCCTCTCAAGCGGCGCCGGTGCGGGCCTGATCCGGCCTGATCGGCCGCCGTGTTTACTGTCGGCCACTTGGCCTGTCTTAGGGCGCCGCTGCTCCGGGCGGCTGTGCGGCCGCGGGGTCGGCGCGGGGCGGGGCACCCGTCCGGGCTCGTGGTGGCCCGAGACCCCGGCTGATCAGCCTGTCTTGGCCGCAGGTTGTGAAGGGCTCGGAGATCCTGGAGATCCTGCACGGCGAGCCCAGCGTGAGGGAATTCGTGTTCTCCCTCTACGAGTGCCGCTATGGCGACTTCTTCAAGGCGTTAGGTGAGTACGCCCCCGCTCGTGCCGGTGCTGAGGCGTCAGGAGTCGATAGCTGGCCCCCTTGTCCCGAGAGAACCGCGGCAGTGGCGGACGCATCCGGCCACAGAGTTCGAAAGCGTGACACCAACGACATCGTTTATTCAGTTCCTTATTCAACCCCGGCGGGGCGGGGAGTGAGTCCAACCCCCGCTGTCGCTCTGCCAGCGGTCTTTTCCGAACCTCCAGCCATCATGACACCTAACTTTTAAAGACTGAGTTATCAACGTGTGAACATCTTCCATGGAAATTCGAAGACTGCGGTTAATATATGACGAGTCATGACATCCGTCAAGGCCGTGTTGGTCACAATCGCCGTTCATATGGCCGCTAGCGTGCGCTTGGGGAAATACGTTCTAATGGGCGTGCCCTCATTGATTTTGGTTGCGTCAAGCAACAGGATGATGCACTCCTGTTGAATGCAATTTGGACAGGTCACACAAGGTGTCATATTGTGAAATCCCTGAAGCTTCTTATTTTTATTAACATGAATTTTGACCTTTTATGATTTCAATACAGTTTGTAGGTTCGACTAACCATATTTCATGTAGTGTGACAAACACTATCAGGCGTCGCAAATTTCGTTGCCATGCCTGGCTGTCACTCACTGTCACTCATACACACACACACACACACACACAGATTGTTTTCTGTGAATATGTGGTCATTTGGCTCTTAATCAATGTCGCACAAGGTATGGCGCAATGAAACAATGCCGTATTGAGCAGCATATTTGCTAAATAGAGAAATTGTTTTGTCCAAAGCAGTTCTTTTCACGTTACCGATACCAGTGATTATGACGCAACTTATTTCATCACATATGATGCATGCTTCAATATCTTCAAATGTTTAGCATTTCCTTTGACTTGAGATGACGGTGGAAGGTCAAGAGGCCCCACGTCCGACAAAGGAGGCAAAAGCCGACCGTCTGGCCGGGGTTGTGGCACTGATACGCACAGCGCTTCCTGCACGCGTTGTTCGCTGCCGAGACTTCATCGGCATATTCGGTAAGCCGTTGCTATCGGTGACCTTGACCCTCCGGTCTGGAGAAGGCGAGATCTGTCGCTAGGGCCAAGATCTGGGACTGTCTATGCGCCGCTGGCTAGGCTGCGTCGCGATGAATAACTCGTTTCCGATGCCTATACTGATTCGGCGGAGGCGACATCGCCGACTCGTGAGCACCCGAACACGCCATGTGCGTCTTTGGGCGTGGGAGCGCTGTCCCGCCGCTTCAGTGGGCGCCGCTCCTGACTTGTCGCGGCCAGCGTCAGGCGCAGACGGGCGAGGCTTGAACTGCTTCAGTTCGGTTCTTATCAGACTAGCCGCTGAATAGGACGAAAAAACAGGCCACAGGCATCCGCATATGACAACGCGACGGTAAAGACCTCCGAGTTCGGTCCAGTTCAACACAAACGGCTAGCGGCGATCCCATCAAGTAGCTGGAGGCACCAAACCACATTCCGCCCAGAAAAGTGCTGGCTGGTTTGCACGAGAAATTCATGTTATTTTGGGGGTGCCGGTATTCATATTGAATGCAGAAATATTTACGAATGGGGCAGCGGTGGAGCAAGTTTTAGCACAAGCCAAGCGAGGTTTTTTCTGGTCTTGGTCGATCCGGCCCCGCCAGGCCAGTCATGCTTGTGACGGATTTGTGTATTTTTACGGCCACTGATCGTGCCGCAGTGCAGTTTTGAAAAACAAATAATGCAATTTTTCGATAGTTCGCCATAATATTTTCGGGGCACTTCCATGCGAGCTGTTTGATCAGACCTGATTTCCCGGAATATTTCGATGCCATCGCAATTTGGCCTCCTATGTTATATGAACATGGCGGACGTAAATATGTACAAAGCGGGAAAGCTAAAAAAAACACTGGTCGAAGCTATGCCCGGATTTCGTTGACCCGGCGTCGGAGCAACATGAGACCAACACGTGGGAAATTTATGACGTTTCGATACGTGAAAAAGAAACAGCCAATCGCCTTGACAACGGCCGGGGTCGATGTGCGCGGCCGGTCGCGCTCTGGAGCATTAGGCTGCGGTAGGTTAGGCCTTTTTGCATCTTAAATGATTGATACAAAGACTTGGCAACAAGAGCGGTTAAAGACTGAACCCCACCTGCACGTGTTTTCGAATTGCAAAGTGACCTCAACTGTATCCGGCCCGTGGGAGCTACACTAGCAATCGACTGGAACTGGAATCTGGGATGGAATCGACCAATGCCGCCTCTCCCGAAACAGGTTCGAGTGTAACACGCCGTGGTCGGAACGGAGAGAGAAAACGGGTCAGAAACACCGCGTAGGCCGAAGTCCAGTTTGTTATGGTCACTATCCACCCAGAATATTCTTTTTGCGGTGGTCCGGTCGCTTTCAACGAAAACATAAGCCATTCTGTTTTTAGCGATCCGTCGTTTTAGGTTATCTGGCTCGGACGGACCCAAAATGCAGTCGATTTTCAGGCAGTGCCATGCGTGGATGTGTAGCCATACGCCAAACATCGATGCACCTCCGCCTGCTAAGCTTTAAGGAAGGGGAATATTCCAATGTGCATGACGAGCGAGGTTCGAAAGCTGGGAGGCTTTTGCTGTAACTATGATACGATGGTCGAACTGGGCGGCCCGGGCCGGCCCGGCCGGCCCGTTCTTTATAATACAATATCGTGGCAGCCATTTTATCGCATGACGTTTATACAATTTAGTGGAGGATGCAGTGCATCTCTTCAAAAAAATATTCTGTGCGCATCGTTAGGCGTGCAAGCTGTCTAATGAAAGCGGTTCTTAATGCAACATTGTTATATCCCCATGTTTTCACCCCCCCCCCCATTTGGTTCACGCAAAGAAGTAAAACTCCTAAGACAAGGGAAAGCTGAAAGCACAAATCGGAGGCAGGTCCAGGTCTTTACAACCCTGCTTGGTGGACCGCGAGACTGCTACAAACAGGAGAAAGCGAACAGTCATCTCAGCTGACATGTGAGCCGACGAGTGCAGACGGTCCCGCGATCTCGTACGCTAGTCGCGGATCCACCCGTCTTGTGACGCTTCTGAGGATTGATGTCCGATCTTGGCAGCCGGAGGAGATCAAGGTGGGAAATTGTCTGTACGGCGCGAACGGGTGCGGCGGCTTCAGCTCGCCAACGGATCCCAAAACTGTCCAACCCACAGCTGCGCCGGTAATCGACCGGAAAACGGCCAACGTCATCATTTCCTTCACCGACTCAAATGCAGGAAGCTAAATGCAGGAACCCGTGAGATGCTAGGTTCTACGAGCTATGTAGGCTCCGTGTTATTTTGTGTGATCTGTAGCCACCCGAAACGTTCGCGTTTTTCTAATACGCTACTTACAATGGCCAAGCCACCAAGTCATTTGAAAGACATCGATTTCGTCTCTTGAAGTCGTCAAGCCTGACAGGACTCAGCCATCCAATATTCAGGCGGCATTATTGGGGCGCAATTACTACACTAATAGCCCTCCGCCTGTTATATCGCAGTAACATACTTTTCAGCCCTATGATTAAATTCGTTGACTCGATGGGCTCCGTACTTGGCGTTACCTGCATAATCAATTCTGACAGGTCCCACGTTTGTTGTCGGGCCGCGCGTCTTAGGCGGCGTAAGGCGCCTGGCTAGTTTATAGGTACGTTAATTCCAATCCGATGCTACGACCTATTGGTATGGGTTCCCAAAGTGACGGGCCGCATTCGCTTATGCTTCGGCGTCACCCCATGATGCTAGCACCCACGTCCGTCACAGCCTCGCTCGTCTTATGCCACAATAAGCGTCTTTCTGGCGATAGCATGGGCGGGGCGGCACGGCTTTGAAGTCATTGTTTGGGAGTCAGTTCGGCGCGGCCGGCGAGTTGGGCCGGCGTACGCTGACACGCCCAACTTGTACGAACTCGCAACCCATTACCGCTTGACAAACACAAACACTGCGCCGAAAAGAATTGGCGCCGCCGCTGGCGCCAACGTCAGTGGAACGCAAACAAACGGGAAATCACAATGTAAATTCCGTCTGTTTATTTGCTGCGATGACGTCCCGAGTTTTTGGCAGCTAATTATGTGTTGACGTTCCAAGTGTGGACTTGCCCTGCGCGCTGCGGCTATTTCGGCGTCGTCAGAGGAGTTTGACGTCAGTTTGTCGGAACCGGTCGGACATGCCGCCAGCGTAGCTCCTCGGCAGGGTACCTGGCGGCCGGCACGCGAGCCTTTGAACCGCCGCAGCTTCCTTGCGGTCGCTGTGCGTTGCGCTCGAAGCCGGGTCCACCGTGCTCCAGCTGTACGTTGAAACGCATTGCGTTGGTAGACTCGTCGCGAGCCGGGCATCCTGGCCGCCAGCTGTCGCTAGCGGCTGCGGACCGTGAAGCCCGGCTGCCAACAGCCGCTGGTATATGCCGGGGAGGATCGATAACGCAACGCGAACGAACTCGTCGCCGCCGGACACGCTGCGTTCTCCCAGATCTGTGCTGAGAACACGCCTCTGCTGGGACGCGTCCAGGATCGGCTTAGAAGAGACCTCCAGTCTGGTGTGGCGCGGAGAAGTATGCCCATCCGCGTCCGCCCTGTGGAGTCAACTCTCTGCCCGCAGTTCGCCCGTCGGAGGCGCATATCTGCCTCTCCGCTTCTGAGTCCGCTTCAGTTAAGGCACCTTTCGCTCCTTCATCCGTTCCGGAGAGGCGCCTCTGCCCGGGTCTGTCTGGGAGAGACACCTGCGGTAACTGATCGCCTCCCTCCCCCCTCCCCGCCCCCCATCAATCAGACGCGGCGGCGGGCACGGCCTGGTTGCGTTATTAATCGCTCGAGCTGGTCGGCCGGCCGCCGCAGGCCTGATCTCGCGTTGTGCCGGGCGACAGCTGTCTTGTAGCCGTGCTCGATAGGACGCGCTGGAGTGCAGCCTCAGTGGAGGAAGAGCGATGCATGGCCCGTCTTGCAGCCGTGCCCGCTAGCACAGACTGAGGTACAGCGTTAGCGGACGCCGAATGATGCGCGACACACCACTTTCTATCTTTAAAGCTGCTTGCGAGCAAAGCGTTTGTTACATTCTGGTACAAGATCCCTCGCGGGTCGCCGTGCCTGCATTCTGTCTGTGTTTGCTTGCGCATTGTAAGTTACGCTTGCAAGGAGGAGTACTGTAGTCCGAATACAGAGTCTTGTAATGTAGGCATTTCCACAAGCTGGGCGATCGAAGGCTGTCAATGAATGCAGCAAAAGTGCAGGATGATCAAATTCGCTGAAAAGTGGATGCGGTTGCCTTGCGATTTCATCCTGTTGCTACAGCTTCCAGCCACACCGTAGCGTGTAATTGAATTCATTCAGCAATATGTTGCTTTTCTGCGCTGCTGAGAGGTAATTGGCCTTTTGGCACCGTGTTATCTGTCCACTTAGTAACAAGAAAGCTTCTGAGGATAACAAGGATGCTGCTTCCGAACCAGCAGTACCGAAACATCCGACTGATACCACACAGAGAACGACAATGAATAACAGCGCAATGATGGCGTACATGAGACAGTGTAGCGGATCGTTTCCCCCGTGATCTGTGATAGCGATACCCCGTCGTTGAATATTGTTCCTCGGCCAGGAGCAAGGCCCGGCTCAGGGGAGTTTCAGTGCGTAGGCACGATGCGCCAGGCAGCATCCTTTGTATCTTGTGCCCGTGACTGCCCTGCTGAGCCCGTGCGGCTGTCGGCGGACAGTACTGGTCCGGTCGGCCCCGTCTGACACGTCGCGGTGACGCCCGGCGGACACGTACCGCTGCTTCTCATGCGCCGTCGCTGTGATCACGCGAAGGGAAGCGATGGACGAGGCCAGGTAGTGCCAGTGTCTTAGTGGTATCCGCGCAGTGGCTGGCGCACTGGCGCATTTGAACACCCGTCTGTGTGTGCGTGCAGTGACTCGGCGTTCCCGTGCTGGGACAGGTGACAGCTGTGGAGTCTCCGCCTTCTGTGGTGTTGCTGGATGCGCCCAGGGAAGTTGACGTTTCTCCGCCCTCCACAGCGTCTGTGGAAGAGGTGCTGAAGCGCGACCGGTACCTGGCGCCGCACGTCTTCCACTACGTCCGTGAGATGCGCATCATGGCTTACTCGCAGCTGCTGGAGTCTTACAACAGCCTCACCCTGCAGTACATGGCCAACGCCTTCGGAGTCTCCGTCGAGTTCATCGATAAGTACGTCGCGGAGAGTGGTGCCGCGCTAGTGGTGAATAACTCTGACCGCGGCCGCTGATTTGTGTGTGCCCATTGCTCCTGCCCATTGTCTAGGCTCTTAGCGTGAAAGCGATGGTCGCGTACGTACAAGAGTTCTACTTGTGCGCAACGTTAGTGTATATTGGCGAGGCGAGATCTGTACTTGGATAAAACGTTAGTGCATATTGGCTAGGCTGGTTCCCTATCACCCTCGCGGACCTCATGCCTATTTTCATTCCTAAAGCCCCTCTCTCCCTCTCATCCTTGTAACAGTTCCTCGCCCCTCCGCAATCTTCGTCGCCGCCTTCGCTACGCGTCTCTCCCTTTCCTCTCCCCCTCCTCCTTCTGTCTCCGTCTCCGCATCCACCTCCTCCCCCGACGAGCGTACCGGCCGCCCCGAACGGTACTGGTTCGAGTATACACCCTGTCCCCGCCCGGTGTCCCGCCTCGTCGAGGGTCTGTCGTCTCTCGTTGCGGCGCCCTGCATCGGTTCGTTACAGGGATGCTGCAGGGCGCTCATACCTGCGGTATGTGTGACCGTTCGGTCCGTTACGGTCCAGTGTGGTCCGGTCCGGTCCGGTCCGTTTCGTTCCGTTCCGTTCCGTTCGGTCCGGCCGTTCCGTTCGGTCCGGCCCGGTCCGGTCTGGTCCGTTCCGGTCCGTTTTGTTCCGTTCCGTTTCGGTCCGATGCGGTCTGGTCTAGTCCGGTCCGGTCCGGTCCGGTCCGGTCCGGTCCGGTCCGGTCCGGTCCGGTCCGGTCCGGTCCGGTCCGGTCCAATCCGTTCCGTTTCGGTCCGGTCCGGTCCGGTCTGGTCGTGTTCCGGTCCGTTCCGGTCCGGTCCGGTCCGGTCCGGCATGGTATGCGAGACGGCCAGCCGATGGGAGAACCTTGCATCCCCTCCCTCCTCCCGGGGGGGAGCAGGAATGGCTCGGGTCTCGCGGGACTGTGTCGCCCCGGTCAGGCTGACACGAGGTTGCGTTGTCGTGTGCGAGAGCGAGGGGCCACAAAAACGCTGAGCCCCTTGGTGACGGCACCAGTTGGCTCCATTGCATCCTTTCACGCATGCAGTTCCATCAAGCACTGGCCTGGGAGTTAAGATATTGTTTTTTTTTGTGCTTTCCGTTCGATCCCGACTCACCAGACGCGAAATTTAGTAGCAAAGCAACGGCGCGTTTTGAAGTGTCATGTTTCTTCTGGCTGAATGAACAACGGAGACCCTTTTCTCGCTCTGATTGGTTGCTCACTTTGCCGTCCGTGGCTTCATTACAACGCTTCAGCCATGATTAAAACTTTCAGCAAGTTGGTAGCGGATGAAGTAAGTCAGTTGCGGAAGAACTGTGCCACGTGTGGAATTGTTAATGGGCCTACCCGAAGCAACCGCCCGAGACGCATTAATGGGCCCCAGATTTACCCAACTTGGAGAACTTTCGATTCCGCTGATAGCGCTTTTGAAGTGCGCATTTTTCACCTTGAATAATTTGATTCGCTGGATTGATTGTTGGCGATGAGAAGTTGCCCCGGTTTCACCACTACGCGGCCAGTGCCGGTTGGGACGGAGCCAGCCGCGTCCGGTCGCCATCAGATCGACGCTGGCGCCCCCTGATTGCCGCAGCCGGCGCGGATAAATACCGCGGGACACGACTGCTCCTGGGCTTGTTATTTGTGGCTGCCCGCTTGGCGATGCTGTCGGTTTGTCATTGCCTGGTCTGATGAGGAGTGGCGTGATATTCTCACACATAGCTATGGCTACAAAAAAACGGCCGAATGGAACGTAGCTTTCTTTTCGGACGTGCTCAACTGGTCCTAGGTAGCGCTGTAAGGTTGACTAGATCAGTCTAGACCAGGTCAAATATATGTTGATTGTGTGACAGTGTAAGTGTCGTAAGTCCAGACTGTCCTTCCCATTTTCAGCCGCGCGATTTGACATGCTGGAATATTCTGGGCAGCCTCCCTGGCTTTGTGGATGCTGAAGCGACGATCATCTCTGTGCAGACGGGGTTGTATGTATTTCTGAGTGAGAACCGGTCTGCGTGGTAGATGACATCACTTGAATATTGGGACCACAGAATATCGAATTACGTTATGGAGTTCCGCGAAGTTCTACGGAACGTTTTGCGTTCGGAAATTTGCCGTGGGCCAGGTACATTACATTGGAATCAGAAAGAAAACGCACATCGCTTGAGGGGAAAGAAAATCCAGGTCCAACCGCCGAGCGTTGGCTCCATCCGGCGTCCCTGAAACATAGCGCCAGCTCCACCACTAGAATACCTGCCTCCTCTCCGATTTATTGTTGATTGCTGTAAGGCGGCGGCGCCGGGAGCTGCGAAAGCGTGCGCTCTGGGAATACCGCCATCAGCACTGGAGAATTGAACGGATAACCGGTGGTGGATCAGAGGGAGGGAATGGCGGCCGTTTTCTGCTGCGTATTACAAATGCGAACGAATAAAGCAATGTTTTGTTAATAAACGGGCCCGCATCTTTTTCTAGACAATTGAAAACTATGGTTATGGCGTGATAGGGCTGCTTTTAGATCGCAACAAACGCAAAACAGCTGAAATATTGTCGCTGGTGCCCTGTGTACGTAGGCTTACCTGGTATTACGGCTATGGCTTAAAGTGCAGGCTTCTTGTGAACAGTGTAATGATGTACGATAACCCGTAAAGCCCACGCTAAATTGAACACTGCAGAAATTATACGACATACGGGCTCAACGACTGGAACGGAGGCGTTCGAGTCAGGCGTCTGCGTCATTGGGAAACAACGCGGTGCTGGCGCAGCGGAAAAGTACGCTACTGAGCCAGCTGTTTATATATTGTATCGTGTGGTTCCCGACGATCGGGAAGATGCGCCGGGCGTAGACTGTGAATGGTAATTCTCGTTTAAGTGAAAGCGACCTGTCAGTGACAAGTGAGATCACATGAAATCAGGTGGGATGAGGCCCAAATTGCATACATCTGCGCTGGTCCCAAGAGGGCCGGCGGCTGCAACCCGCCCAGCCGTCACCCTCGGTGGTGTGCCGCTCGGCCTCTGTTATGGGCACCCCCCAGCGGCGTTGTCTGCTTGTTTGTCTGCGTTCCCGTCGGCTGTATGCGTACTTGCATCCTATGCATCTGCGCTCATTAACTGTACTGAACTATGTTCTGTGGATGCATGCTGTCGGTCGGGAGGAGCCGGGACGGCTCCGTCGTGGTCGTCCATGATTCTGGATTCCGTCCATGTCATGTGTCAAGTCCAGATCATTGTCACTGCTCTTTTTGACCTTGCGACCTTGTGTCTCCCAATGTTGACCCCGTTGTCACGTTCTGTGATCGGTGACCTTGCTGTAACTCCCTGGGGTCCGTGAACACGTGAATCCCTTGACACCATGGTGATCGTCGTTGACCTGTTATTACCTGTGACTCCTACCCTGCTGTAACCGTCCGTTTCACTAGCCCTACCGTGACCTTTGCTGACCCACCACGGCGGCGACGGCCCAGTCATCCATGTCTTTGCTATGATCGCCCACGGCCCTGCACTGACCGATCGTGACCCCTAGCTCCGTGACCGTGCATGACCTTGACTCGCAGGGAGCTGGCGCGATTCATCAACCTGGGCCGGCTGCACGCCAAGGTCGACAAGGTCGGCGGCGTGGTGCAGACGAACCGGCCCGACTCCAAGAACTACCAATACCAGAACACCATCAAGCAGGGTGACATCCTGCTCAACCGTATACAGAAGCTGTCCCGGGTCATCAACATCTAGCGCCGTCCGTAGCGGCGGGGCCGCCGGCGGTGCACTCCGAACTGTCTGCGCCCGGGCGGACGGGACGACGTCGCGACAGTATCGTGTCGTATCGCGTCGTATTGCGTCGTATCGCGTCGTGTGGTGTCGCGGCGCCCGGTCGGCGGCGCCGGCGGCGCCCCGCGGCCGCTCGCCGGCGGCCGCCATTGACTAGGTAAAGCTCCGGTGTTTTCGTTTTGTGGCTAATAAAATATGAGCGCGAGTCGTCGCCGCTTCTGTAATCATCCGAGCGGGGGAAGTGGGCGGCCGACGTGGTGTGGCGCCGCTCTGGCGCGCGCGGCCCGCTCCCGCCCGCCGGGTAAATCAACGGCGACAACGCCGTCCATCCAGCCGATTGTTTTCGTCGACTGCGGTGGTGGACAGCGGCGCACGCTGTGCATTTACTGTGCTGCACGGCGGCGGGAGAGGACTGCAGCGGGAGAGAGGCGGAGTCTCGCCGGCTGAGAGGCCCGCTGAGGGATTTCTGGAGCGGCCGCTCCGTCTGGCTCCAGCGGGCAGTGCGGGTGGTCACGCCGCGATTCCCTCTCGAACTTGTCTACAAGCCACGCCTCTATTCCATCTCATTGAGACCCTCACTCACAGTGTTGCAGGTTGCTGCGCAGGAAACCGGAAAAGGCGCCTCGTCTTCCCACCCCGGTAACGGCTGGGCGAGTGGGCACCGATCCGCAGATGCGGCTCGTTCTGGAGCCTGGTCCGTCCGTCTGTCCACCTCACCGCTGCTTCATCACCCGCGCCCTGCCTCTTAGAGCTGCGCCCATACCCGCACTGGCTCATCGCTACCATTACAACCGAGGCTGTGCAAATACGCGGAAACCAGAACGAAGCGAACCCCCTATGCCTCAATAACTCCAATTGTCGCTGCGCACCCGAGTGAGCGCCGCTGCTCCCAGGTTTTCCGCGGCCGCGTCCGCTCGCCAGCTCAGCGACCCACGAGCCGAGCCCCGTGGCACGTGGCGACCTGTGCTGTCCTCCCAGGGAATCGTGCAGCCCATATTCCAGCTCGGTCGGCGTCGGCGGGGAATTGGCGAGGGCGTGGGAGCCGCGCGAGCCGTGGGAGCGTCACCGCCCCCCAACGACCCATAGCGGGCCACCCGGGGCCGCATCCGTGAATGGCGGGCTGTCGTATCTTCGATCGTATTCTGCGGGGTTATCGTAGCACGTTTTAAGGACGCCACGTTTCTCGTTGCGCTCGGCTATATGCGGCGTTTTATAGCCTGCGGCTAGACCCGAAACTACTGCTGCATCGATGAAATAAACCTTAAATATGCGTCGTGGGCTAAGTGACAATCGGTGGGCATGTAAAAGAGTAAACTGTAAGGCGACACTCAAAATCGTACCACGATTTCGCTAAATATTCGCAAGACCTGGTTTTGTTGGTGTAAGTTGCTAGCATCAATTAGCACATTCGAAATATGCCATGAGAGCGTTGACAGCTGCAGTTACAGTTAGTTATTTTTTTTAAAAATCGCATCCACGCGGTGGTTGCTCTGTCCCTAGTAATACAAAGAAAAACAAAAACGGTACAGAGATACACGCATGCCCGCGCAAAACCACGCACTGAATAGCCGCGCATTCGCATTAAATAGCCACCTTGTGCTTGGCTCGAAAGATACGGGCGGTAACTATTCTATAGATCACACGATGCAGAACCGCTTCGATTTGAAACACGCAATGGTGAACGATACCGGAATTGTCGGCAAACGTCTTGCCTTTTGTCGTTCGTCAGTCCGAAGAAAAATTACATGTACCGAAAATTAAGTGCTACGCCGTTCTGAAAATAATTGAAAGTTCTGCTCGAAGGCGAAATCAAGGCTTGCGTTGTTGCTATCTCCAAAAGGGTACGTACGCGTTCATCCTCATCATCTTGAACTATGAATAAGAGCAATGCGATCTGTTACATCATCTCAGCATCGTCTTACCTAGGCGCATGACAAACAGACGCATTCAAGGCGTTTCCCAGTGAAGCCGTCAGCTGAACTGCAGGTCGCCTCGCCGCGGCTGCTACCGCGCGCTGTCCTGCTGCTACACCAGCCCGGCCACCGTCAGCCCCCGCCACAACTTCGTTAGTGGTGACGTGAGCCCGCGCCTGGGCTCGGAGTCATCTGCCCAGCACCGGCAGTTCCTCAGGCCCCGCCGCGACACTCCGTCCCGCCGTGGCCGGCCCGGCTCTGCTTATTATTTCATCCGGCGCCGCGATTGGAAGTCGGAGGTGCATATTTGATGCGCCGCCGCCGATGACCGGAGTGGATTGAGACGGGCGCCACATATGGCGTAGCGGTTACCCGCGCTCTGCGCCACGCTAGAGGCCGTCAAATGTGACGCAGCGGCCCGGTCACCCTGCCCGGTTATGGGTCTCTTGACTGGGATTACGCGGGCACCATGCTATGGAAAGCCAGCGGTGCGGACACAGTCCGAATGTGAATGCCGTCTGCTTTGAGGTCCGTGCACGAGGGAGGATGCGTAATCCTATTGTCATGCACGGGAGCTATCTCATCATGCCATAGACATCTAAAAAGCTCATTTCCAGGAGCAGAACCGCAAAGATGTCGCCTAATGCTGTGGGCCTACGCACTCATTCTGTGGTAAGCAGCTTTAGACCCCCGTGATGATCTCCTTATTTGTCGGCAGACGTCCCCAGCGCGGTGATTAGTTCGGCCGATTCTCTTAATACCATCGCCGTGGGAACCACGGAATGACACCATGTCGAGCGGAAGCAGCATCCGCATGGCCGGAGTGCTGGTCTGCGCTTGTCTGGCTTTCTCGGACGCCCAGCGCGGGGGCGAGGTGCTGTGCTGGGCCCGACTGACGTCGCTCAGACGCCCTTGCTCGCTGTTTGCCGAAGGTGTTACTCAAATAGAGCCGGCAGAATGACACTTCAGCGGGCCAAAGGAAGCAAGGGATCTAGAGAATGCCGAAAACCAAGGAGGAAGTGATCAATGGAACAGTGTCACACGGAGCATCCCATGCCTTGTCATGCACCGCGCTTAATTTCAAAACACTTGCCGTTATTCCCATATACCGCATGCAATGACAATCCTACAGCGAGCCCGCAACAACGACGATCCACCCTGATCATTTGATATCGAGACTCTCTCTCCCCAAATGCGTCCATTGAAGCCGTACGGAAGAGGAACGGGCCTCTCCCGGAACGTTTACAACATTAAGCAATTCCTTCTTCGAGACGCCACCCATAAACATCCGTAGCTCTCCGCGCTACAGCCCGTTCTCCGCCATTGGACCAATTCCGCACAGCCCGTATCCGGGAGTGTGACCCTGTTGGGCCGATCCCATTGAGAAAACCGACCGAAGTCTACTACAGCGTGTGGGATCAAATATTTCGCGGACCATCGAAGGAGAAAAATGAGCCTCTAATTCGAGAACGCGCGCTGAATATATCCGGAGGTCTCGTTTGGAGTCGATAAATCTGTGCCGACTCCCAGCGATCGGCCCTTTAATGGCCGGCTTACCAGATGTCTGTGGTCTCTGTCGCAGGCCTTAGTTTACCGGCTTCCGCCAACAGTGCAGCCTATAAACTTTTCGCAATGCGCCATCTGCACGCTGGGATGAATAATGAATGCAACGGTTCACTCTGCTCACGGCTCTGCGTGCGTTCTCGGGGGTAGATCCTTCGGCAGGGTAACAGGCCGTAGCTCAATTGCTCCTGCTTGCGAAGGACCACATCTCTGGCAAATCATGTTTCGAGGTGCTCACTGAGCTTTATATCACGCGACCATTTTCGTGAAGACATCCAGTGATTTGAATATGCAAAAGCATCCTGCCAAGCACACAACTGCGCGGCAAAAACATCCTGGCACACAGGACTCCCCGGTTTCCGCAGGCAGGCCCCGAGGCGAGGATGACGCCCGGCCGCCGGCGACGTCAGGTGGCGGCCTTGAGCTTCAGGCTCGACGTCCGCGGCGCGCCGCTGCGCCATTCGACGCCACCCAGGCGACGCACACCCCCTGTGGAGCAAGCGAAGGCGGCGCAACCCGCCGGGGGTCTCGCGCGGTGCGCGCGGCCCGCGCCCGAGGGCCAACTCCTGCGGCCGGCCGGCCGCCGCGACCGCCAGTGGTTCCCCACAAGCGCCCGGCGCAACCGCCAGCGGCTCTCAACCCTCGGCCGCCGTGCCGGTGGGCCGGCCGGTGGGCGGCTAAAATTAGCGGCATCGGCGGCCGCCGGCTCACCTGGCCTCCGCCGCGTTGCGTATCTCCAAACACAAAACGTCCGCGGGCCAGTAGCGTCGGCGAGACCGTCGCCAGCACGTCGGGCTGACCGCAGGCGGCGCGCGAGCGTGTGACCTCCCCCGTGCCCGCAGCGTTTGACCTGGTACGTGCCGGAAGGGACAGGGAAAGCATGCGAGCGAGCCGGGACCGCCGGCTGACTGAACTGCGCTGGGACGGAAGCCACGAGAGCCCCAGCGGGCAGTGAGGCGGTGCGGGTTGCCCCGAACTGCGGCGAGACTGCGGACGGAAGGCACGAGAGCCCCAGCGGGCAGTGAGGCGGTGCGGGTTGCCCCGAACTGCGGCGAGACTGCGGACGGTAGCCACGAGAGCCCCAGCGGGCAGTGAGGCAGTGCGGGTTGCCCCGAACTGCGGCGAGACTGCGGACGGTAGCCCGTCGGGATCAAATCAGCGGAAACGAACACGCACTTGGAGTAAAAGCGGTAAGCGCGGTGAGAATGGATCATCAGTCAAGACCTGTGTTTACACTGGGGCGCAAAAGTGATGCGTGGTGAGGTGAATGATGTAACGAGTTACACACACCACGGGCCATTTGTGCGCAGACTCAGAGGGCTCAACAACTTTATCGATTTGTTAGTTACCACTGATGAAACTTGTACGGACTATTGTTCTGCTCTCGTGTGTTAGCATGCACGTTGTGAATGCCTTAGCCGGTTAATGCTCCGACCGTCGGCAGGTGTTTTTGACTCCTGAGAAGGACTGAATGGTGTGTTGGCTTTCAGCCTTGCATGTGTCAGGACCCGCATTGCCTCTTTAGAATTGCTGGGATTTAAACCTGGTATTCTGCTTACGAGTCCAGAGCTCTACCAGTTGATAGAGCTAGCCGGGAGGGACAGCTGGCCGGTTGGCTCAGCTCCGTCACCTCCGTTGGCAGCTCCGTTGGCAGCTTCATCCTCAGAAAAGCATGCATTATGATTCGCTTAATCAAACATCGGCCGAGTCAATTCGGAGAACTGTGGACAGTG